GCGTGATTCCATATTTGGCAAAACATCCCTTAACCCTCAATCAACTATGTCATCGTCATCTTTCTCCAGCCAGGAGAGATTATCCATAATGGCTTTTGTAAATCTTTGAATCGGTATCGCTTCCAAGAAAAGGTCCTAATGTGTCCAGAATGCAATTTCTAACCATCAGGTAGGACTATGCTCATGAACTTGAAATAGTTCCGCTTCTTCTAGCTACAGTGCGAGATTCTCTGGAGCTTGTGATCAGATCTCTTAGGAATAAAAATATATGTATGACAGTCGCCAGTTGACCAAAATATGCGTCTGAGAACAGTGTTGTACTCCAGTATATTTTTTCTTGTAAGATTACCACGTCCAAGGAACAAAAGGACAGTGGCTATTTCTAATGTTTTCACTATGTAATGAACATTTTAGATGCACTAGAAATTAAAGAGTTGAACGCTGTTTCAATGATATGTCTGTCTTCAATTTTACCCAGAACAACAGTAGTGCATCCTCGTGGTTTGGAGTGCCAGCAGAGAATGAGCAATAAAAAAGAGTTTTAAGGAATTGTGTTCTTGTCAAACCAGTCCAAGCTTTACAATTAGTATCATCCAGAGATGAGAAACGTAGAGTAAAAGAAGATTTCTGCTTTGATAACATTTGTGATATCTCCAAAAGATCATTGATGATTTCCTTTCCTTTGATTTTCTTTTGATCTCTTTCATCAGTGCGGATTTCAGCGTTAGAGTTAATATCGTTCCCTATGAGATGAAGTGAACAAGGACCAAGGACACCATAGCTTGAAAGATGAGTTGGAGTTTTGCGCGCTTTGGCAATATAGTCGAGTATTGATTGAAACTCTTCATACGTAATGTACATTTCGCATGGGAAGACTGGCCATGAGATATATCCTCTATCGTATATATTGTAATATTTCGCCGGGTATCATCATCAACACTAACGTTTCGATCTTCAGGTTGTGACTTTCTTTTATGATAAATTAAAAAAAAAACATACCAATCTCTTGATCATCAATAAAGTTATTGCCATCTGCCTTTAAAACATCAAACAACTCATTGTGCTGGGGAAGTGTTATATTTCTAGCAGATTGCTTGGTTTTAGTGTCTCTCCTAAAGACAACTTTACATTCTGTACCTACATATCTAACTCTCGTTATGAGAACGGTGCTGTATTAGGTGTTTAAAGTCTCTGTCTTAGTAGAAAATGTAGAAAGAAATATCATAAGAACAATTGATGTTAGGAGTATATGTCGTACGTAATATATTGTTGGAAGATTTGTATAGTAATTATCGGTCATATAATAAATTGTATCTAATATCCTAATGCCATTCCAGGACATGTATTACTTGTATACGTGTTAGGGGTTGTTATATGCTGAGAGGAAAAAGAAGCTCAATTAGCAGAAAGTTAATATTGTAAATTAAATCTTTGACGTACACCCTTGAAACTTGACAAATGTGTGCATTTGAGTTAGGTCCCTATGGTACCGTATCAAAATCACTGATGCATAACTAAACTGCGCACGCCGCTTGTACAAAAGAATAAGAGACAAAAGCACGATATCTCGAATCCATGTATAAAGGATTGGTTCAAAATCTGTGTGTGCGAATCTTCAGACATATCCGTCTTGATTTCCCACCTTTTAAACATGAACAGTTCACCGTAAAAATGCCACGACTGTTCGAATTGACAAAGGTCGTGCCATTGCACTTCTTATGCAGGGTGCCCGGCAAAATCAGGTCGCTAATCAATTTGGAGTCCATCCATCGAACATTTGCCGTCTCATCCAAAGACTTCATGCCACCGGAAGGGTTGCAGGCCGTCCCGCAGCCATCGCCCTCGTGTGACGACGCGTCGGCAATGCGACTTTCGTACCTACGTAATCGCTTTCTGATGGCCACGAAAACAGCAAGGAACACACTTGGGCGTCTTCATGTTCCAACTGATCCGAAGACAGTGCATACTCGACTGCGTGCCTTCGGTCTAAGACCGCGGCGGCCATAGTTTGGACCACAGCTTAAGCCGTAAGACGCTTCCCAATGCAATGTTGGAGAAGGGTCCTGTTCTCAGATAAGTCCATGTTTTCGCTTTACCGGGCAGAAGGCCGACGTCGTGTCTATAGACGTACCCACGAGCGCTATGCAGATGCTTGCGTGATAGAGAATGAACGCTTTGGAGAAGGATCGGTCATGGTATGGGGAGGGATTGTGCATGGTATTAAGACTCCTCTGTACGTTATTCAGGGAAATCTCACGGCCGTCTGCTATAGAGATCAAGTCCTAGCGTCGCATGTTGTTCCTCTAGTACAGCAGCGTCAACTGACGTTTCAGCAGGACAACGCCCAGTCGCATGTAGCGAGGATTTGCCGTGGTTATCTCGCAGCAAACAATGTCCCCACCCTAGACTGGCCCCCATACAGCCCTGACCTCTCCCAAATAGAACATTTATGTGGTCAACTATTTTCCAGTTACACCATAATTACATTCTAAAACCCATTTCTATTTCCCGTAGTTGACCTGAAAATTCCAAATTGCGTTTCTTTTTCCTCCAGTATATATTAGGGAAGGCACATGTGCACATGAAGGTTTGGAGTGTAACAGGGTGGTCTCCTAAGTCCAGATTCGTTCAACGAGTCATTGGGGTGATACACATCAAATGGTTTCGGTTTTTGAGCAGAGTTGGGGTAAGTGATAAAGCTAAATTGGTATCTACACAAAACGTATATGCCAAATAACTTTGAAAGGACTAAATTCGGACCAGGTAACTTAAAAAAACACAGAATACGTTTTGTTTTCACGTCTGGTGGTGGGACAGAATAACGATAAAAGCCAATTTGTCGCTGATTAATGATTACCTTCCTTTTGTCTCTGAGTTTGGTAAAATAACTAAGTATTCTACTGTTGCTCTGAGGTACGAAGTAACGTCATCAAGTCTCGCTCTGAAACGAAATAATGATAATTTTTGTTCTGTCTTTGCAAAATATTTTCGGAAAGAAAATAGGATCTTGATATATATAAATATGCAAATTGAAATATCAAATATATCAATATTGTTATTGCGTGATAGCCAAGATTAGGAGCACCACTCTCTTGTAGGAAACACTTTGCCTAATGCATTTTTCTCGAATTGTGACAAGGAGATCTCCAAACACAGTATTTACCGAAGATAAAATAATATGTGTTAAATTCATAAACTGAAAAACAATTAACATAAAAGACAGAAATAATCAAATAAGTATTCATTTGATAATATTATATGTTATGTTGGTCTCAGTCAATATATAACAACTTATCTGAGAAGCTATTAAATTTCCTATCCAAGTGATCTGGAGTTATCTCCCTTTAACAAACGTTTAGTAAATGTTTCATTTATATTGAATATTATTAATTACCGAAGATGAGATGATCAAGTTTGATAAAAATCATTATTACCAGAATTATTTATTTCATAATATGGATAATTACATATGCATTTCTTTATGTATGTTTCAGTATATGCAAATACAATAATCCCCTAACTAATCCCCTACGGTCGCCATAGTAATCTCCGTGAGAAATATTCTGTCTCTTTGTGTGAAATGAAATGGACGTATTTGATGCTCGTAAGTTCACCTGTTGGTTCCGTTGTTGTATACATATCTCTCATTAGAGAACGTGACATTACTTACTTGAATTGTCCAAGCTAAAGGTAAACATGGCGGGTATCGCCGATGAATTAGAAGACGCTTACTCTTCCGGAATACCTGGTCTTTTTGTCCTTGTTCTATTTCTGGAGTCTTCGTGTAAATCTTTCTTTTGTTCACATTTTGCCCTAGTTTTATGGAATTTGAGTTCGGATTATGGTTATGTTGCCGTGTTGGTATTTTCTTTATGTTTTCTGAAAAAGTCCGTCTTTGGAACTTTTCATTGCATGGATCGTTGTAGGAGGAATACGGATCTATCATGGGGATTTTGAACTCATCTCCCCTTGATGAATAACAAAAAGGTATTGACATTTTGCAAATACCAACATAGGTTAAAACGCATCTTACAAGAAATCAGTATGTTTTTTTCCTTACTCTTCAACGAAAACGGGGAGTTAGACACTTAAGATACGGTAATACTTCGTATATCAATACTTATCATAGGTTAGATTTTAACGATATAAGCACGTAAAAAGGACTACGGAAAAAGAAATGGACAGGTCGATATGACCTGTATAATCATTTGTTCATGTTGAGGTATACAGAGGCACTAAAAAGTCTTCCCTGCTTTCTCCAACGGTTTGTTATGATCAGCTAGTGTACATGTAATAACATGGTCTCCTGGATCTACAGTTATGTGTTACATTTTCGTCTCTGGTTCTCCTATCATTTACAGACTGTGGAGACGAATATCGTCCACTGCATTAAAGCGAAATATACGTAACAAACTCTGTAAGTAATGCAAGATTGTCGAAATGTGCAAGTTAAATGTGGAAAAGGTATTTTTTCAGTATCAGAAAATACATCATGCACTTTGGGAAAAACGGAAGTTTTGAATTATCCGTCTATCAAATAAAATTTAATTCTCCATCTAAAATATACATCTAAAATATACATCTAAAATATACATCTAAATTATACATCTAAAATATACATCTAAAATATACATCTAAAATACCATTAACATATTTAGTCTAATCACAAGAATCTTAATTACTCAACAGAAAAATATCAATAGTCATGAAAAAATTGTATTCTGAGATTACAGCATACGTTCGATTGCATGTGTGGAATCTCCGACAGCAAAGTGACATAGACCATATTGTTTAACAACGACTAAAATATTAGAAGTATTAAACTAGTAACTACGATGACCAATTAGCCTTGATTATGGGATTGTAAGTATGGGGTTCGAATCAGTACTTATTTGTTTCGTTTTAGTTATTTCTTCACTAAATAAAGATATAACTAATCAAAGGGCGATAACTCGTTATCTGTGGCGGATCACGTGATGTTTTCATAGCGTGGGGTCAAAATGGTGTCTAAAGCGATATGTTATCACCTGCCAGTTTACCTGTATTATCTGTACGTTGTCACGTACGACTTTGTAAACATTGAACATGGCAGGGGAGGATATGGAGGAAAGTTAAAGTTTCTCACTGTCTGGAACGAGGTAAAATATTAACGGACTGTATTAAAGAACAGGAAGTAGTCGAGTCAGCCTCTTGAGGCACAGGTCTGGAGACTGGAATGTAAACAACCCGGGCTCGAATAAAAATCCACACACGACAGTCAAAACACCCCTGATCTTCTTTCAGTTTAGCACAATATAATACCCACGTCTAATGCCGCACAGTGCTCAAGTACTTCATTATCATAGATATGCACAAGTTTCCAGTTAAATTAGTGAGTGTAATAATGTGTCCCGATCACTAAGTGTGAAGGGAGATAACTCTGGAAGGCCAGCAACATTAGACATTGAGAGCAACGTTAAACGCACATGTATGATGTTAAACGTCGGTGAGGTAGACATTAACTACTGAACATAGATCCAGCCTCAAAATGACTGGCTGCTCACAGTGCTACAAATTTAAACATAACAAAGAAAAATCAACCATGATACGAAGAAATGGGTGTTTGAAAATAAAAAAATAAAGGAAAAAGAACTTGTCTTTAACTTTCGTATTGCTTTTTACTGGGTTCTTGGGCACATGCGAATACCAGGCAATGAAAAAGCTGATCATGCCACAAAGGCAGCTTTATCGCTACCACCAGTTGTTTTTAGACTTCATTTTACCAATTTTAAACCATTTAGTAAACAATTTGTAACATCTCAGTGGCAGAAGGAATGGAATCAATATACCAATAATAAATTGTAAAACCTAACATCGGTAAATGGTCTCCATGCTATAGAGACAACCACTGAGACGAAGTTGTCCTTGGACATCTTCGGATTGGCAATACATACCTTACACATTCATATATGTTGAAAGGCAAAGATAATCCTCGATGCATAGGATGTGATGAGCCATTCAACATTAAACATTCATATCTGACATACGTTTGAATTTTTTTTCATTGTGTATATAGGGAATTTTTGAAACTGTTAATATTTATGAAATTCTAGGTTATCTGAAAAATGTTGGTCTATATCATAGACTCTAACGTACCATTTTAATCTTTTGTGATAATATAACCATTTAAGATTTTTTATTTTCAAACTGTTTGTTTGATGTGATTTCCAATTGATGTGTGCATTTTAATGGTTGACAGCTCTAATGACCTTTTATGTGAAACATAGAAATACTGTGATAATAATGATAATAATTGTTTTTCATAATTCCTACATTGTAATTTTTCAAAATATTATATTTTGGAATTACACATCCAAATGTACTAAATGATTTCTGAAAAAGCCTGTCTTTAGACCTGATTTACATGGGCTTTGAAGTTATCATGGTAGGAGTTATAAATTATTACAAGGATTGTGAACTCATTTCCATGTGATAAATAACCACAAAAGTATTGATATTTTGTATGTTGTTCAGTTAATATTTCCAATTAGTAAACGGATAATATAATTTTGTTCATATAAATTTAAATCCAGCAAACAAAAAAAGCAACTTATCATATCTAGGTGATCATCACTCAAGGTTAAATGTTCAAATGTCATATGGACAAATTTACATATCTGCACTTAAAGTGTATATAGGGTGCAGAAAGTCTAGCATTGTCTTTTTATTTCAATAACAGGACAAGCCAAAATTACAAGTATTTTTAATTCAAACTGGAATTGATGTGAAACAATTGATGTGTAGACAATTGACAAGCAGACTCTATTGAAACATAGAAATACCAAGATATCTAATAATTGTTTTTACTCTTCCTGCAGATTTTTCAGATGTTATATTTTGGAATTGCCACTCTAAATGATTTCTGTGGCAGTGATATTCGACCTTCTCATGCAAGGGATGTACAAGGAAGAAAGTCTGTTCTACAAAAACTCCGTGATATTGCTTTAGCTTCAGTCATATTTCCAGCAGGAACGGTAATATAATTTTGTAATATGTTTTTACCATAGTTATCCTACAATAAGACCAGGGAACAAACATACAAATTTACATATCTGCACTCAAAGTGAAAGGGTGGGAATTATCAGATTTTAACTCAAAGTCACAAAATGAGCTTAAACGTCCATATTCTGACTCAGAGTCTGGGGGTTGGTTTAAACATCCGTATTCTGACTCAAAATCATGGAATGGGCTTAAACATCCATATTCTGACTCAGAGTCAGGGGATGGGCTTAAAGATACCAGTGTATGTATTCTGACTCAAAGTTGAGGATTGGTTAAACATACATGTTCTGACTCAAAGTCAGGGTGTAGGCTTTGGCAGACCAGTGTACGTATTCTGACTTAAAGTCAGGATGTGGGCTTAAATATCCATATTCTGACTCAGAGTCATGGGATGGACCTAAACATTCATATTTGACTCAAAGTCATGGGATGGACCTAAACATTCATATTTGACTCAAAGTCATGGGATGGACCTAAACATTCATATTTGACTCAAAGTCATGGGATGGACCTAAACATTCATATTTGACTCAAAGTCATGGGATGGACCTAAACATTCATATTTGACTCAAAGTCATGGGATGGACCTAAACATTAATATTTGACTCAAAGTCATGGGATGGACTTAAACATCCGCATTCTATGTAAAAGTCATATCTTATTTGATATTTTTAGTTTCGGTGATAATATATTATTTAGTATTTTCAATTTCAGTGATGACATATGCTTTAATATTTGAAAAAGTTGGATGGCCTTGTACCAGTCTGGTTGAACCATGCTTTATATATATTGAACTCCAGGTAAATTGTCACTCCTGTTAATATCATGTACCACATAATATCATATTTTCTTTGGGAGTATAAAAAATGTGGTATTTGGATGGCCTTGTACCAGTCTGGTTGAACCATGCTTTAGTAAGTACATTGAACTCCAGGTAAATTGTCACTCCTGTTAATATCATGTACCACATAATATCATATTTTCTTTGGGAGTATAAAAAATGTGGTATTTGGATAGCCTTGTACCAGTCTGGTTGAACCATGCTTTAGTAAGTACATTGAACTCCAGGTAAATTGTCACTCCTGTTAATATCATGTACCACATAATATCATATTTTCTTTGGGAGTATAAAAAATGTGGTATATTTCACCCTGTGTCAATTATGTTTTGTGTATGCTTTTGATTATGAGTTTGCAGTTGACTCCGTATTTTTTTTTTCCTTTTATTTCTAAGGTCTTATATTTTAGAGCATAAATCAAGAAATTTTATGGATGTCAGTCATGTGGCCATATGTCACAAAAGCAAACTTAGGTTACAGTAATCTACATTAATCTGTAAACCTGTCTGATTTGATAGTCATCCTGAGGAGTAGAACTGTATCCAGGCAGGAATTGAACATTGTGATAGGATAAAATAGGATAATTTTTGTAGAATTCCTGAAGATGTTAATGAATATTACCTTTATTTAAACAAGGGACTTGATATATCTGTTCACATGTTAACCGGAATTTTGTCCTTTTTGTGTTTAGCTGTATTTCTGTCAGAATAAGTATGGAAACATACCTGAATAATCATGATTTATGAAGATATGGAAAAATTATGAAAAAACTGATAAAATAATTCATCATGGTGGAAAAAGTTTATTCAAAACAATTATACTTAAAAAGTTTTGTTTTAAGGCTCAAGATTGTTGCTGACTTTTTTGTTTTTCTATTTTTTTTTCTAGCACACATTTATTCTGCCATTGATGTTTGTGGAGTTAACTCTTGTGTATCATCAGTTTCCAAGGAAACGCACTGGACTAGCGATTCTGTTCACTTTTGCCTTGGCCTACCTGTGTTGGTAAGTTTTCATGCTTGTTGTTATATAGTGTTGTTCAAAAAGAAAATAAAAGAACCAAAAAGAAAATGAAAGAACAACCTTTCTGTAATGTCAATTTTTATATGTCCTGAAAATTCATTTTGGTGGTAGGGTGTGTGTGTGTGTGTGTGTGTTGGTGGGGGGTGGGGGGAGTGTGTGTGTGTGTGTGTGTGTGTGGGAGATGTAGTGTTCTTCTCAACCCTTGTGTGTCCTACTCTGTAAGATGTTATGTTTCAACATTGCAACTCAATGGCTCTACTCTGGTAAATTAACATCTTAAGGGATTTTCTACAAACTTTACAAAGTGGTCAATAATGATAATTCAAGTTGATGTTTCAGGTTTTCAAGGTCAATGTAGCTCATATATAGAAAAATGAAAATCAAATTGTCCAGTTCATGCAGTGATATCACTGTGTTTATAAATTTACCAATTTCTATTCGAAGGATCCTATGGATAGCCTATGTAGCAGATTTCTGGGTCTACCCTGTCCTAAAGGTCATGCATGTCCATCAGCGTGTTATTTTCATCGGAGCTCTCCTTGTCTTCTTTGCCTTCCTGTACCTGATAGGAGAGTTCCTCAACCAGATACTCTGGGGTATGTATAATATTTCTAAAGTCAGAGGTCTTGACCAGATCAGAGATCTCACTTCCCTTCATCCAGACACTCTGTGGTTTCATTAATATTTTTCATGGTGAAACAGATCCACAGCTTTACAACGATCAAAAGACATAAGTTTTATCATATTTGATACATCAACAACCAGATTCAAAGTCAGCTTTAGTTTCTGGATTTGGTTTTGTGATTTTTACAGTCTTTTTAGTTGATACACATGAGGGCCTCATAGTATAATGCTGCTTAAAGTTTTAAACCCATGACACGGGTTGGAGTCGGAGAGAGAACAATACATTTTCTTAAACACTGTATATGATTTTGTTTATGTGATGAACAGGATGATTTAGTCAAATAACAAATTTAAGATCAGCAAGTTTCCGGATTGGTTAATGAGATACCATTAAAAATTTGTGAAATGTTTACACCTACAGTATTTCATTTCAAAATATATTAATTAAATCAAAATGATTAAAAGGGAGTTGGACAACAGAAATGCTCATGTATGCACACATTACAAATGATATAGACTTAAACAACTGCATATTACTTATATCAATTGGTGAATAATATGTTCATAAACTTAGTAACATACATAATGTTATTATATTAAATGTTCAACATTAATTATTTGAAGGTATCACTACACCAATAATTCCCTATCACTACTCCCACTCCAGACAGTAGTTATAACCAGATCCATACACATCACAGTGTGCTAGCCCTGTAGTCTTTAAGAGTCTACTCTAAAATCTTATCAAAAGTCCTTTAATGTAACATGTATGTTAAAGAGGCATTTTATTTCATAATTATTTTCAAATGTTTAACATACTACTTTTGGCCAATGTGTACATTTTGAGACATGTCCATATGAGTTGTGTTTTCAGTTCTAACCCCATCCCTGACAATTTTTTTTTAAACTGGAGTTTAGCTACATAACTACAATCAATTTGTAAGGTAACATTGATAAAAAAATGGTTGACTTTTCTGTCACAACTCTTGGAAACCTGTTTGTGAGGCTTGATACTGATACTTTTATTACTGTCTAAGAAATGTACATACACCTTCACCTCTCTATAAATATCAAACAGACATAATTAGAAACAAACCAGAACTACAATACTGAGACATATATACTTGTCAGTGCCTATGATGAGTGGTTGGATGGTGCAGTGGTGACATATTTGTTTTTCACCCAGGTGACCAGGGTTCGATTCCCTGATGTGATATGAAAAAGTAGGGGGTCATGATTACATGCCAGACAACCTGGGTTTTCCCAGGGTTCTCAAGTTTCCTCCTACAGTAAGACCTACATTGCATGCTTCCAACAGGACCAAAAAGTGATTATTATAATCTGGTATAAGTGACGTTAAAACCTTTCTTGTTTATCTGTATCAAAATTCAGAGCTGAAGACTAAGGAGAATCTACTGATATTTGAGATAGATCCCTCCAGTATTTCTTTATAAATAACAAAGATGGACAAAAACTCCATAGATAAAGGAAAGTTTGAAGAACCAAAATAACACAGTCTGATGATGGTGGGTGAAAAAAATCAATCAATTGAATTTTTTGTGTTTGCTAATTTCTGATTTATATAGGAAACATGGTTTAATATGAGATTTTATGAAACAAGTCTTACAAAGTTTTATTTTTGCAAGCATGATGAGCTAATATTGAAACATTTAGGGATGAGTTTCAGGAAATCTCACTTGAAATGAAAAGAAATTTATGGCACATTTTATCAAGTTACTCAGAAAAGTTACATTTTGACAGGTTTTAAAGCAAACATGTAGAGGACAAAAATCCAACAGAGGCAGCCATTTTGTTATGCCATGTTCAGTTTGTGATGTAACATAATTGTCCATGTGATACAGTATCAGAGTTGTTTTCTGTTTGGTACAGGCAATTGAAAACGCTCCTGGGTATACAGCACTAGATGACATATACACAAAAGTTACATTTCGTTAGTGAATTCACTGGATAACAGGCAGATTATGTGATAAAAATTGTATAATTATAATCCTATTTTCAATTCTTGTTTTATGTTTGTTTGTCTTTAAGAATGATACCTTTGTTCAGAGTGGACACTGAAAAAACACAACTATCATTCTGAAATCAATAATAAACACATTCTATTGTTTGTTTATATTACAATGTTTTAATATCTATTTTTTCCGAATTTTAATTATCACAGGTAAGGAGATCAAGGCTTATGTAAACGAAGTGAAAAAGAAGGAGAAATGAGGTCATGTTTATTGTTTCAGCCAGAAAGTGATCATCTTGTAGGTAAATGGAATATCATGGTTAACATGCAGCAGAGTCATGTTTACTTTTTACAATGCGACAATATTTAAAAAAAACAAAAAGTATGATACAGAAGTATCTGTTTTTTTTCTTTTATTTTTTTAAGTTTGAAGATGCCATAGAACTTTTAAATAAAGAGAAAAGTTTTAAATAGTGTGAGATCTGAATGTTCAAATGGGATATATACTTTGGATGACCTTTTAAGAAAATGAGTGTAGAAGAGTCTGGAAAGATCTGTGTAAGAAATTTATGAAACTTATAACATTTTTTAATCCCTGTACATGTTTAATTTTGAATTTGTGTTTTTATAGACATGATACAAGATTGAAAAGACCATTTATCAGCTTTATAAATGACTTAATTCAATTGTTTATATAATAAATTTCAGGTATTTTTTCATATGATTTTTATATGCTATAATCAAAAATGGCCAGATATATAATTATACATGGATTATGTGTATCATGCAGTGTATTTTACAAGATTCTGTTAGTTATCGAGCATTATGCTCATGCCTCCTTACAAGCCCAGTAATATATATTGCTTTCCTCAGTATGTCATTTTTTGGAAAGAAATTTGTGGATTTTGATTACCTATGAAATCAATGACAGTTACGGTAATGATTTTACAGATGTTGAATTCTACATGGCTCATTGTTTCGTGATAGTCCTATATTTGAGAACTTAAATTTTGTACATGTATCATTTATACAGATACGTTACTCTTTTTTAAATTTTTTTAATCACTGTTAGAATGTGTACTGGGTACTTAATATCAAGGTTTCTTTAATGACCACAATTGTAGTGAAATTAAATCTGCCGTGAATATTCCCCACTTTTCATCAGTTTTGGCATAAATTTGTGAAGGAAGCAGGTCATATAAAAGATTTTGTGTATTATTATAATCAGATAAGCAAGCAGGATCTATTCTTTAATACAGAATCATATTATAAATTCTGTCCCTTATAACTTCATATTGGTTCCTGTTTATGTTTTTGTTTTTCCTTTCTAAAATTATTTGTAACAAGGAAAATGAGCTTGTTATAATCATGGACATTTTTTATTTTCTTTTCTCAACTTGTGAAATATCAGAAATTTTCAGTTTCATTGAAAGACATCATCTCAAGTAACTTTAGCAATGGACCAATCAGAACTGTGCTTTTTATTCACTGCATTTAGACATTGTTTTTGGAAACTTCAATTTGAATTTTTTGTTTGTGTTACAATCATTAAAACATGAATTTTCCTTTAAATTTAGCTTTATAATTCATAAAGAGTGTTATCTTATTGAAGGAAATATAGAATAAATGTGCCTGTTTTGTATGTTTGCACTACCCAGAATTTTAATTGGTAAGAGCAAAAGTTGTAAAATATTAGACTAAAATAAACAGATGTAGTTGTAGATTACTAACTGGGAGCTTGCTGTAGAAATGTATCCACAGAAGTGACCTATTGAACTCTAGTAGATGTTGATTTTGTGTAGAATTTTATGTTATTATTTGGCTCTACTGTATCTGATTCTAAATTTGCAAAGAAAGGTGCTATTCACTTGTGTGTCTTTTGTACAATCTTTAAGATTGCAGGTGGTAGACACTACTGGTGGCATGAATGTTTTAAGGGATATTTTCTAGGTTTTAACCAATCAATTTGTCAAAAGATCTCAGCATGCTGTCTCTTAGGCTGATAACAAAATACAGTTTTTATTTGGTTTTTGTTTGTCGCAGTGGTCACTCTGAATGTTTATCGAGTGATTGTCCCTTGTGTTTAGCACATCCAGGGTAATTCACTTCATGTATATGTAATCTTTTGAAAAATTTCTGTATCGTTTAAGATGTCTGAAAGGCTTGAAAACCTTCGCAATAACTAATTGATTTGCTTTGTTGATTTTATATGTGTACTTTATATACACATAATGAATTTACAACATCGGGAAGAAATCTTTTTACACTAAGAGAAAAAACTATATTTTAAATAAACTCTTGAGAAATTTTAAACAGCAAGAGATATTTACCAACTATTCAGTGACATTAAGAGGAATTCACTGAACGTTAAATGACAGCAAGAGATGTTTACTGAGCATTCAGTGATATTAAGAGGAATTCACTGAACGTTAAATGACAATAAGAGATGTTTACTGAGCATTCAGTGACATTAAGAGGAATTCACTGAACGTTAAATGACAATAAGAGATATTTATTGAGCATTCAGTGAAATTAAGAGGAATTCACTGAATATTAAATGACAATAAGAGATGTTTACTGAGCATTCAGTGACATTAAGAGGAATTCACTGAATGTTAAATGACAATAAGAGTTAAATGACATTAAGAGGAAATAAGTTAAATGATAAGAGATTTACTGAGCATTCAGTGAAATTAAGAGGAATTCACTGAACGTTAAATGAGATGTTTATGAGCATTCAGTGACATTAAGAGGAATTGTTAAATGACAATAAGAGATATTTATTGAGCATTCAGTGAAATTAAGAGGAATTCACTGAATATTAAATGACAATAAGAGATGTTTACTGAGCATTCAGTGACATTAAGAGGAATTCACTGAATGTTAAATGACAATAAGAGATATTTACTGAGCATTCAGTGACATTAAGAGGAATTCACTGAACGTTAAATGACAATAAGAGATATTTACTGAGCATTCAGTGACATTAAGAGGAATTCACTGAATGTTAAATGACAATGAGATATTTACTGAGTATTCAGTGACATTAAGAGGAATTCACTGAACGTTAAATGACAATAAGAGATATTTACTGAGCATTCAGTGATATTAAGAGGAATTTACTGAACGTTATATGACAATAAGAGATATTTACTGAGCATTCAGTTACATTAAGAGGAATTCACTCAAAGTTAAAAGGAAGGAGGTCTGACTTCAGTAATATAAAAAGAAAAATGTTGAGTATCACTGTTTGTTAACCACTGTCGGCTGTTCATATGATGGACATGCTTCTGCAGACCTATTCATCCATGAAATTTCAATTTCAGTTCACTTTGTTCCATATGCAATAACATATAGAATTTATATCAAATACATGTATATCCTAACAAAATTTTATACAAGATGGTGGAGAACATCTAATGTGTACAATGTGTATGGATTTTGTTCATTGGTTTTTGTGTGTGTGTGTTTTAGATTTATATTTAGTCTGTTGAATAGAAAGTTATATCCATAGTTGATGTTATGAGAAATATATACAAATGCTTGGTTCATCGTTTCATCTGTATGTTATCTTATTGTTCTTTATAGAATACAAATATTTTGTCTTTATTTGAATACCATATTTTTCATGGTATCGTTCCGGTGTATCTCGTGTATCTAAAGATGTTGTGTCACCTACAGATCATACCTGGCTATCTTGGGTACTTTATCTTACTTGTGGTGGATAATATCACACAATTTTTCCAACCTGCAGTGAACACTTGTAACAGAATTTTCCGTTGACGATATAGTGCTGTCATCTGTGGATTGATTTAGGTATCATAATCAGTATCTTGTTTCTGATTGGTTGAAATAGGTGTAAATTTCACGAGTCCTGCTACTTTGATTAATATCTTAACATGGAAAATTCACAATACAGAAGAAGAAATTGCTTTTGTTCTCAGCATCCTTACAATGGGACAGTCTTAATGTTGTAAAGATGAAACTCAAGAGTTTAAGATATGTTTATGTATGAAGGAAAACCAATTTCTCATCAATGAATTTGTTAAATCATGAATCTACAATGAGAGTATTTTGATATATATGTATTCAGATTTTACACTTTTATCTACTCTGTGATAATTGAGGAAAATGTTTCTTTTTACATAATTTGTTAATTCTTTAATATTTTTATTTTGTATCGTTTTCGAAATGTGTAGTGAAAGATCTGTTTTATTTCTATAACTGTATTTACGGAGAGTTGTCGATATTTTGAAAGCAGCAGATGTTTCCAGAGACTTCTCCAGATCTCTAGACCCTTTTATTTGTCAAGATATTTTGCTTTCGTTTCCCTCCTTTCTTATCTGTAGCAATATTCTATATGATTTCTGTATGTAATAAAGTGCCTTTAATGCTAATTTTTAAAGAAAACTACGATTTGTATATTTTCAATCTGATGTGAAAAGTGTAGTTGTACCATTTACTATTTCTGTTGAAGGGTAAATGAATTGTTAATGTGAACTTAAGAAAAAACAAATAAATGAAAAAATAAGAGAGTAGATCCTCGGTGAGAACGTTCCATCAAGGACTTAAGATAGAAATATTAAACCTGTATATCTAAGCCAATGGTTTCATGCTTTAATAAAGAAAAGGAAAATATCGTAAATGTAATTCTGTTTGAAAGGTATATTTTTTGAGATTTCGTTTTCGTTGAGTACTTGGTAGTAAATCTAGAAAGTCTTATGATATGAACATAATATTTTTACTTTTCTATTAATAGATGCTCTACTGGTAATATTGATATTTTTGTTGCTTATGAAATCCAGAATCTTTCTGATCCTCTATTTTTTTAACTTTGGAATATGCAATTCCGGAACAAAACATGTATACATATTATCCTAGATTGTTTTTATAACATGTACTACAACCTTTCCTCACGACCCTCTTTCTTGTCATTACCTCTGCCAATTATTGTCCTTATTGCATTATTCCAATTTTCTGCAGGTTTTTTTGCAGCATTCTCTATATACCGGTTTCAGTCGGTTTGTTTCGCCTTTGTGTTCCTATTCGGGATTTCTTGCATTTATCTTATTGTTTTAATTGCTATGGAATAAGCAGTACTGCTTATCCAGCGAGAACCTGACCGAACATGTACCGTCGTCTGTCGGAATAGCTTGTGATGGCACTGTAAACACATTATACTGAGCACCCGGCCAATCTTGTGGACGTGGTACTTTTTTGAGAACCTAGCCAATCCTGTATCTTGTTTTCTGAAAACCTGGTCAATCTTTTATCGCCTTGCTTTCGTTGAATTTTTAGCTACCAGCTTTCACGATCCCCACTATCCAAGTTTGTGCTAGTTAACTTTCGAGAATCTGGAATACTATAATCGTTGTTTATCATACTTGTTTTAATGAATGACGATTTTCCTTTCTTAAATTGCACGGAAATCGTGAAAATAAATTGGACTCGAACGAAAGTTGATTTACAGATGTACGATGAGTTCTTTTATTGATATACCTGCGTGCCTTTCCGACTGTCCTGAGTGTCTCAGGTTTATGATCTGAAGTAGTTAAACAACCAGCGGTGCTTTCAAGAGATTGAAAACGGTTTCTTATTTATATTTTGACCGTAATAATGTACATTCGACGTTCCATTACAATCGCCGATTCGTTCCAAAAAAAAAAAAAAAAAAAATGCAACTTGGTTGACGTCTCTATTTCTACATTATTCTGTTGCCTTCGTAACCTGTTTATTTAACAACGTCTTGTTGTATTGTTAAAATATGTTACCAGACATAATCTTATATAACCTGATATATTCACGAGTGTTTTCAAGCGTTCTATTTTAGAGTTTAATAAAGATGTTTGTGTATTTCTGTATGTATTTAAATATGCAATACCACTTAATCATTTTCGATGGGATAAAATTTATGACCAAATATAGCTAATCATATTATTCTTTTGTCCATGTGCTTTGTTTCACAATAATCTGTTCTGTCATACTTGATCTATTAAATACGAAATTAAACAAGAAATCATTTCATGTCGTTCATTGCTTTTTGTATAAATTACAAGAATCAAGCCCATTCTGTGAGAATGAAGTAACTTAGTTTCCATCATTGCGTACCATCTTCTTGAATTAACATACAAAGCTGAGGCAAAAAATTCATTTCATGATTTAAAATTGATCAATTATAATTTCAATTAATGAAAATCAAATATAAATAGGGTTCTTTTAATTCATTTGTTTTTATGAAAAATATGAGGTGTCATTACTGTTTCGTTTGTTCACAATGAAAACTGTTCATTGCTTCGGATCTTTTGCTCGAATACAACACAAATAGTTCTCGCATATGGGTAAAAATATCTTCTTTCAGTCTAAAGTTTTGGTTTATATTTTTTGTTTGCGATGGCTTAAGCTCAAGTAGCAGACAAACAAACAAGACTGACATAATAATATCACGAGGTCAGTATTAAATTTAATGGAAGCCTTGGTCAAGCTACTAGGGTACATGCCATGGTGAGGTAGCAATGGCCAAACTCCATGGGTACTGTGTGGCCTTTGCCGAACTCCCTCGTGACTTACGATAACCTTGATCAAGTTTACTGGTTACATGCGATAACCTTGATCAAATTTACTGGTTACGTGTGATAACTTTGATCAAGTTTACTGGTTACGTGTGATAACCTTGATCAAGTTTACTGGTTATAAGTGATAACCTTGATCAAGTTTACTGGTTACATGCGATAACCTTGATCAAGTTTACTGGTTATGTGTGATAACCTTGATCAAGTTTACTGGTTGTGTGTGATAACCTTGATCAAGTTTACTGGTTACGTGCGATAACCTTGATCAAGTTTACTGGTTACATGCGATAACCTTGATCAAGTTTACTGGTTATGTGTGATAACATTGATCAAGTTTACTGGTTATGTGTGATAACCTTGATCAAGTTTACTGGTTATGTGTGATAACCTTGATCACGTTTACTGGTTACATGCGATAACCTTGATCAAGTTTACTGGTTACGTGCGATAACCTTGATCAAGTTTACTAGTTATGTTTGATAACCTTGATCAAGTTTACTGGTTATAAGTGATAACCTTGATCAAGTTTACTGGTTACATGCGATAACCTTGATCAAGTTTACTGGTTATGTGTGATAACCTTGATCAAGTTTACTGGTTGTGTGTGATAACCTTGATCAAGTTTACTGGTTACGTGCGATAACCTTGATCAAGTTTACTGGTTACATGCGATAACCTTGATCAAGTTTACTGGTTATGTGTGATAACATTGATCAAGTTTACTGGTTATGTGTGATAACCTTGATCAAGTTTACTGGTTATGTGTGATAACCTTGATCACGTTTACTGGTTACATGCGATAACCTTGATCAAGTTTACTGGTTACGTGCGATAACCTTGATCAAGTTTACTAGTTATGTTTGATAACCTTGATCAAGTTTACTCGTTGTGTGATAGCTTTTGTCAAGCTTCCTGGGTACAAGCCGACGTGAGGTTGCCTTGACCGAGCTCTCTTGGTACGTGTGATTGCCTTAATCAAGCCCCCTTGGTACGTGTGATTGCCTAAATCAAGCCTCCTCGGTACGTGTGGTTGCCTTGACCGAGCTCCCTGAGTACGTGTGGTTGCCTTGACTGAGCCCCCCGAGTATGTGTGGTTGCCTTAATCAAACCCCCTGGGTACGTGTGGTTGCCTTAATCAAGCCCCCTCGGTACGTGTGGTTGCCTTGGTCAACCTAGTGACGATCGGTAAACATGCACGTCAAGAGCCTCACAAAATTTATACCTCTGTTTGTTTCATTGTACTTTATTTATAGGAATTTCTTTAAAATAATGCAAAACACCACAGGGTATCAATTATTATTTTTAATATTTAATAACAATTCTCAGATACAAAAATAGGCTATGAAAAAACAGTCGAATTTTGATTGTGACATTGTTTTTCTCTTGCGTTCCTTATTTCAGACAATTATCAGCAGGGTTTTGAGGGGGATACAGGAGACAGTTATGGAACAAAAGGGCATACTCATCTCCTCTCAGTGAGCGAGCATTACATACAATTCAACTTACTCTTTCTAACAGGAACTTCCAGTAAACAATAAATCATGCGAAAATATTGTCCACAAATCCGAATTGCATACTAAGAATTCCTTACTAAGACCAATATGTCATACCTATTTGATTCACATCGTTAATATATGCAAACGTATGGTCAGGGTAACAAAATCTAGAATCACCTGAGACACCAGCTCAGTATGAAATATCTACAGATTTTACTTCATCAATACAGTGAGAATTTTTCCTAACTGTATACAATATTTAACATATAACAAAGTCGTATGGGAAACACATTTAAGTAAATAGAAGAGAGCATTAAACGAAAATGAATTATTCCTAGCCCACGAATTTAGGTGTCCACAAAATTAGATAAACAGATATAAATGACATGGATTAGAGTAAAAGTTGAATTCTTGAGTAAGAGTTCTCCACGAAAATGCACATTTTGAGTCCCACGAAAATATAGAGTTTTACAGTATTAAGCGTATTAATCTATTTCGGAGAAAAAATTTCTCGCACCAAAGTACAGTGGATAAAAACAAAATTTTCGTAAAAAAAATAAAATGCCACCGAACAGTATCTACATACTACGGGATCACTTTAATTTATTTTGCACAAAATATAATTTTTTCATAGATCACAGATTTATCTCCCGTTTTACCGTAGGGGGTGATTTCGTCGTCATCCCCTGGGTTATGACATCATGTCTTATGATACTGCTTACAGGTGTATATGATAACCATGTGGCAAATTTGAAAACTTGTAATTTGTAACTGTTCTTTTAAGTATGGGAGAATGATACTCAGACACGGGTTTATTCCGTAGTAAGCCCTTTCTGACCACCAGACAAACTCTTGAGGGTTGAGATATCCTTGTCCACAGAACAGACCTTTACAAGGTTCTATGAATGGCAGACACACATGAATAACCTTAACATATTTTCAAAGTCACAATTGTATTTTTGAAATATTTTGTTGAAACCAGAAGTAGTTTTACAGAAATACAGGTCATGGACAGATAAATTGTGAACAGCGTCACAGAAGGTAGTTTAAGTGTTTCACCGACTTTAACAGTGCCACTATCAGGAATTAATTGATAACAACATATCTCACATAACTATGAGGAATTAAACCTGAAATATTTCAATAAAATCATTTATATTTTCTAGCTGATTGTGATATACAAATATCAATTAACAATATCGATAATCATACGACTCATCAAACATCAGACACACAATTGGTTGTATTGTACCGACTAGTAAAAAGTCATTTCTACAATATTTGTCACATGATGTGCTAGTCAATCACTTTACCGCTGTCATTATCAAGGAATAATATGTTAACGCTGTCAAAATCCAGACATTATTGGAAAATAAAAAAAAATATCATTTGTCGTTATAACTTCTGTACGCCAGGAATAATTCTCTCAATTAAAAAAGTGGGTTTTTTTTTTAGCAGAAAACAATTATAATTTTTAGAAGTAACACTAACTTTACATTGTTTCAAATATAAATGTCGGTTAGGCTCTTGGAAGAATATTTTCGATCATTTTGGAATTTATTTCCGCACTTTGTTGGTATCCAACATACTTTACCACGTGTATTTTGGATATGTTCGGCTGCTAATTCTGATAAATGAAATATAAAATAAAATTGTACAGAAGAAAGATTGGTTAAATGGCCGATTACTAGCACAGTTGTTTATTGAGCTGCCTCTTTATTATAACCCATCATATATATTTATAGAAAATATATATACATTGAAACAAAGAAAGACATTAGTATATTTCTATTTTTCAACACCAGCGATTATTATTTCCATATACATCGATTTGCGTCACCATTCATAACAAAACTGATTACATCATAAGATAATATAAAAATTCTACAGAAATTTACTTACAATTTTTCTTTTGTTTAGCTAGTACCAAATGCATTGATATGTATATCCTTATTGTATTTCTGGAATGTGAGGGAATAATCAATCAAGCACAATAACAAATTTCATTAAATAAACAAAACAGCACAAATAGTAATTAGATAAACTTAAAATAGTTTGATTTAAACACTCTACTCATTCTTATAACAATAAAACCATAACAACATACCTACTAAGTAAACATATTAGCATAATGTTTGTCATCATTTCTCTATTTTTTCCATCTATTACTAATATTACATATCTAACAAAAACACATTAATGCCTTAACTTCTAAGTAATACATCACTTCTAAGTAGTGCATCACTTCTAAGTAATACATTACTTCTAAGTAGTGCATCACTTCTAAGTAATACATCACTTCTAAGTAATGTGTCATGCGATCCACTTTTTCTGCTTTATATTATTTGATGAGATAACATGTATATTATAACACATTTACAGTATTGAAAAATTACAACCTGTTATGTTGAACTAGATTTTTCTTCGTCTTAAATAATCCTAAAAGACTGAAATGATTGTATTTCATTTAACCTTTGGCTCTACTGTGTCTAAATCTAAATTTGAATTGAAAGCGTTATTCATCTCTGAACCTTTCAGCAATTAGCGTTGATTTTTGGATAAGTTCGTTGTGTTATAGGATGACATACATTTGATACTACAATAGAATATTTCTGTGGGAATGACTACTAAAAAACATTTTGGGCACTTGTTTATCAAGATACTGTCAAAGAATCAGCAAAAATGATTATCCGTTCTTAAAATATGTACATGGAAAAATACATTTATGACATAGCACCGACTAAATTTCAACTTCCTTTGGTCAATAAGTAAGTAAGAATATGGCGCTGATGTTATTTGCAATGAAAGAAAGACCGTTTACCATTGGTGCTAATGTTATTAGTAATGACAGAAGCACAGTTCACTATTGGTGCTGATGTTATTAGTAATGACAGTAGCACCGTTTACTAATGGTTCTGATGTTATTAGTAATGACAGAAGCACAGTTCACTATTGGCTCTGATGCTATTAGTAATGACAGAAGCACCGTTTACTATTGGTGTTGATGTAATTAGTAATGACAGACGCACCGTTTACTATTGGTGCTGATGTTATTAGTAATGACAATAGCACCGTTTACTAATGGCTCTGATGTTATTAGTAATGACAGAAGCACAGTTCACTATTGGTGCTGATGTTATTAGTAATGAGACGCACAGTTTACTATTGGTGCTGATGTTATTAGTAATGACAGTAGCACCGTTTACTAATGGTTCTGATGTTATTAGTAATGACAGAAGCACAGTTCACTATTGGCTCTGATGCTATTAGTAATGACAGAAGCACCGTTTACTATTGGTGTTGATGTAATTAGTAATGACAGACGCACCGTTTACTATTGGTGCTGATGTTATTAGTAATGACAATAGCACCGTTTACTAATGGCTCTGATGTTATTAGTAATGACAGAAGCACAGTTCACTATTGGCTCTGATGCTATAAGTAATGACAGAAGCACCGTTTACTATTGGTGTTGATGTCATTAGTAATGACAGAAGCTCAGTTCACTATTGGTGCTGATGTTATTAGTAATGACAGACGCACCGTTTACTATTGGTGCTGATGTTATTAGTAATGACAGAAGCACCGTTTACTATTGGTGTTGATGTCATTAGTAATGACAGAAGCTCAGTTCACTATTGGTGCTGATGTTACTAGTAACGACAGAAGCACAGTTCACTATTGGTGTTGATGTCATTAGTAATGACAGAAGCTCAGTTCACTATTGGTGCTGATGTTACTAGTAACGACAGAAGCTCAGTTCACTATTGGTGCTGATGTTACTAGTGACGACAGAAGCACAGTTCACTATTGGTGCTGATGTTACTAGTAACGACAGAAGCTCAGTTCACTATTGGTGCTGATGTTACTAGTAACGACAGAAGCACAGTTCACTATTGGTGTTGATGTCATTAGTAATGACAGAAGCTCAGTTCACTATTGGTGCTGATGTTACTAGTAACGACAGAAGCTCAGTTCACTATTGGTGCTGATGTTACTAGTAACGACAGAAGCACAGTTCACTATTGGTGCTGATGTCATTAGTAATGACAGAAGCACTGTTCACTATTGGTGCTGATGTCATTAGTAATGACAGAAGCACTGTTTACTATTGGTTCTGATGTAATTAGAGATGACAGAAGCACCGTTTACTATTGGTGCTGATGTTATAAGTTAAGACAGGAGTTTAATATTTCGCTATAATACTGTTACGGTACTTTGATGGTCAAAAACATCTGATTCATTACTGCTGCTATGGTCTTCATTTGCAGATATCGTCGATTTCGTCCCATTAGGTACAACATAAGAAACTGATTTTTCTACGGGAGGTTTGTAAAGTTTATAGGCAATGACAAATAATATACTGGTGGTGATTTTCACTGCAAACAATATTATGAAGAAATTGCGACTAAGTAGAGCATTGTCATATATCCAACACGAAGTCTTCTCTCCGCATTTCTCCTGCCAAACCAGACAGGTACTGTCTATTACACTGCCAAACATTATAGGGCCCGGTACCGTTCCTGTGAAAGAGCAGAAAGTAGGAAATACAACATCGTCAAAAAACTTTGTTGATAAACGAATGATAATTACTAACACTGATGAGATTTTGCGTTCTATTAATGTATATATATAGGATATGATAGACAGTTCTACTTTATGGGAGGCTAAAAAAACGAGAGTAAGACCTACTGTTAATTTTATCCTATTATCAGGAATTTTAACAAATAATGGAGAAGACTCTGTATCACTAATCTGCATTTTGACGTTTTGATGTAATCTGTGAGTGTATGTCTTCACTTCATTAACTACTACCGACATGTAACATGGATTTTCCCGCCGAACGAAAAGCAACAAAAAATACCTGGAATCATAATCCCAACTCAAATTAAAGAAATGGGAAAATACTAACAAAAAACATTTATACGGAGACCAAAAAACAGGTGTTCCGGGAGAGTAAGTGTCTTCTGCTTCATCGACGCCACCCGTCATGTTGATATACACAATGTAGTAATACTTATGTTTTACTTACCCAACAGTCGCACGACGAACCACTGAATACCCAGAGCAAACGTTCGCTGCTTGTCATGTATACATCTGGAAATTAATGCATATTAGAGAATCGTCAAAAGCATTTTCATAGAAGCATCTTAACAAAGAATTGATAGATAGTTAAAAAATACTAAGATAAAGGACAGTTTCTTAACAGAGTGAATGGTGTCGCGGCCGTAAGGAATGGGGATTAAAACCGTTATTTGTTTGGCTCTACTACATCTAACTCTAAATTTTTATTTAAAAAGTGCTATTCGCTTGTGTGGTAGACACTGCTGGTGGAATTTTAGTCTCCCAGGTTTGCCTTAACCTTCATGTTACGTTTTCATTCAATCGAATTGAGGCTCGGTCAGAATATACACACGTGCTTTAATGTTCTTGTAAGATTATCATATATTCATTAATTACGAAATATGTGTATTTATGACGCTAGAGCATTTCCCCATCTAGATTTTGACATTCATTTCGATCACATTTTCCTAAGTTGCCTCCAACACGACTGTACAATCTTCTAAATGACAAAGAAGGAATATGGAACAATAAAGGGTAATGCATTCTTTGAATCTATTAAGACTTTTACAAAATGATGCCTAACCGAAATTCCCAGATTGCTGTCACTATGAATAATTCAGTAGTTACGCTAGGTAATACGTAGGTTTAAAGTATAAAAGAAGTCGTATTGAGTTTTGTTATATGTTCATGCCATTTATGGCCACTCTTTACCATGGAATGTTAAGTTAAAGCTATGGATATCGTAACTATAACAGTTCACTACTTAATGGACTCAAGTTTGGGAAACATTAAAACCAGGTAAATATTGTATCTATTTATCGTTTCAGGAATATCATCAGCTTGGTTTGTACAGTATTTTTAAATATTCAAAAGCACTTCACACCAGAAAATCTAAAAAAAAACTTTAAAAGCAAAAAGACTATATTCAAACATGTCAACATAATCATAATCCATATCAAAATTTAATAAAACTAAGGCATTATATGAACAAAATGAAGATACACGGCGAATCCTGCAAAAAGTGTAGTGAGAATAAGAAACGGTGTTCCTGAAAAGTAAGCTTCTACGAAGACATCCACCATGTCAATCTTGGTCAATTCACGAACGTTATGTCATCATCTTAAATGAGAACAAGGTATACAACAACCGAACTAATAGACACACAAACATCAGACATTTCCACTTTCATATCGCACAACAGAACTAACAGGCACACTAACGAACATCAGGCACATTCAGCTTCGTATCCCAAAATAGAACCAACAGTCACACTAACGAACATCAAACACATCCAGCTTCGTATCCCAAAATTGAACCAACAGACACACTCACGAACATCAAACACATCCAGATTCGTATCCCAAAATAGAACCAACAGACACACTAACGAACATCAAACACATCCAGTTTCGTATCCAAAAATTGAACCAACAGACACACTAACGAACATCAAACACATCCAGATTCGTATCCCAAAATTGAACCAACAGACACACTAACGAACATCAAACACATCCAGATTCGTATCCCAAAATAGAACCAACAGACACACTAACGAACATCAAACACATCCAGATTCGTATCCCAAAATTGAACCAACAGACACACTAACGAACATCAAACACATCCAGTTTCGTATCCCAAAATTGAACCAACAGACACACTCACGAACATCAAACACATCCAGATTCGTATCCCAAAATAGAACCAACAGACACACTAACGAACATCAAACACATCCAGATTCGTATCCCAAAAATTGAACCAACAGACACACTAACGAACATCAAACACATCCAGATTCGTATCCCAAAATAGAACCAACAGACACACTAACGAACACCAAACACATCAAGCTTAACCAAAAGACAAACTATCGAACATCAAACACATCCAGCTTCATATCACACAACGGAACCAACAGGCACACTAACGAACATCAAACACATCCAGTTTCGTATCACACAAATAATTGAATATTTCGCAATGAGATCACTATGATGAATGTGTAGCTGCATCTTTTGAAACACTATGTTACGAGTTTGTCCTTCAGTTGACGACTTCTTGCACGAAAATCGTGATAATTGGAACAAGTCGTTAACAACCTAAACATAGGATTTTAATCATGATGGAGAGATCTGACGTGAAACGTTCAAGGTCATGAATGCCGGAAAGGAAAACATCTTCACATCAATAGCACATTTTAATACAAATTTAGAGTTAGACATAGTAGAGTCAGACAATGAATTAAACTGTATCATACAGCTGCTTCGTCCTTCTAGGGCTCGTAAGTGATGCTAAGGACCTTAAATTAAGAAGCCTAGGATGCGACTGGGGACAATACAGAGTTATCAAACATAACGCTATGATCTAGATTGGAAGTGCTTTAGCCCCTTGATTTAGGCAATTTCGTAACTTTCATAGATCTGATAATCTTAGTAGTAATATTAAGTAAATGTGTTTAAAACATTATGTATTAAAACAATCTTTCAAAAAATCATGTATCAAAACAGCCTTTTAAATAAAAATCATGTATTAAAACGATCTCTAAAAAGACTATTTATATATAACTTCAAAAAGTCTTGTATCAAAAGTCCCATTCAAAAGAGAAAGTGCACATTTACTATGTAAATCTGGGTTTTACTCTTCTCTATAATTAACAACATTTTGAATGTGTTTTGTTTTGTTTGTTTTTGGGCTTTTTTCGGTCATGAAATCAAAGCAAATGTAATGAATATATTAACAACGACATTTTTACTGACTCGTTAAAGAATAAAAAAAAACTGAACATATCGGTTTAATTTTGTAAAACCCGTTAGACGATGTCACATCTTGTTGTAAAAATCCGAACAATACCAACCGTTATGTCATACTGTATTGTTTAAACTAACAAATTACCCCGGAGAGTTTTGATGTGACTATTGCCGTTCTGCAATCCCAACCATTCACTAATCAATACCTTGCCAATCTGACTGAAGCTTCCGGCGAACGTCATCAGTTAACAGTGGTGACATCGTCCGTTTGTGTCAATTTACGATAAATACAATATAAAAATATTAATTAAAAACGAATTCTAGCAAATTTTTCTTCTACTCTTTATTTTTTTTAAATAAAGGGGAAAAAGTTAAATATTTGTAATGTTTCGTAAGTAATTATCACAGTTTTACTAATTTGTTTCTTAATAAATATGCATTGGGCAGAAATCATCACAATGCCCTCGTTAGTTGTTCACACAACATCTGCGTCATGATACCATATCTTGGTAGTCACGTGCTCTTATATAATATAAACAAGGTATATATAACACTGACGTCATTGGATATTACATATGTTTTCACTTACGTATTATCGACGTCAGTGAAACGTTTGTACGTTTTCATTCTATTCATCAATGTCATCAACAAAGCGATGTTTGTTTCTGTTCCACGGTATTGATCATTCCGGACGTCACTAAAGCGACAACGCAGTGTTCATTGATCAGAGAAATATTATGCGGCATCAGCTTCCGTATTAGCAACAAAGATATAACTATAATTACCGGCCTAGTTTCTGATCGTATCGATTGGCAGGGAAAGGTTTAGCCGTGCTATGGTACTATAACCACGATCCAAACGTTTTCCGTGACTGGATTGAATGGTAGAACTACATGAACGTTTGAATGGGTTAAAGGTGGAAAACACCAACATTAAAAACGTTCCATAATGCTAACATATATTCATGTAGGAAATATCATCATGCGCATTGTCTTCTATCTTGTGACGAAATAGATTACTATCTAGATATATTTAAGATTTTTTTCTTCTTTACTGTGTTAGATGTATTTTAAACATATATTTCACCATAATCCGCGTAAACAACAAAAAATGGAAAACCATTCTTATTTTTATATGTTTTGACAGCATTTTATTTACGACACTTAAACAGATTATAACAATCATGACTGGACTTATTGGACAGCCCGTATGGACATCAGATGGCAAAGCAAAATAGCCGCTTCCATTTTGGCGGGAAAGATCAGACTTAACGTCTAAAACATCAATTTTGATGGTATGACCAAATAAAGAATACATACCGTACAGGTAAAAATGGAAAAAGACGGCGTCACTGTATGGTGTAACTGTTTGGATAATAGTCAGATCTAAATGATCGGAAAAAGAAGGTGTAACTGTGTAGTGTAACTGTATGGTGTAACTTTTGGTAAATATTTAAAAAGGGTAAAATTGTGATCAGTTATATGGAATACGTTATATGAAGTGTAAATGTAAGGATATTATGTATTGTTGTTGGAGCAGATCGGGTCATTTCAATGATCCCTAATGTTTGGACTCCGTCAGTACCAAGTAGTCTGTACCGCAGTAACACTAAGTTATCTTTATGATTTAATTATTTTGATAGTTTCTGCTATAGCACAGTCTAAATATATCTAAAATAGCCTAAATCGTCTCATCTCTTTGGATTGACCTGAATCACTACATTCAACATTTCCATCATTTCCAAAATGTATAGTAACGAATTCCTACAAAAACAATGAAACACTTGATACTGAATACTTCATATCTTAAAGAAAATCTATACTGAACATAACACATGTCCCAAGTTTAAACCACCGCCCTCTGGTTACAAATTATAGCAGGTCAGTCTCTTCTGTATATCAATTAAAATCCTACAAAATGACCTTTAACTTTCGATTCGCTTACAGTGCTTCCAGAGCATTTCAGAAAATGTGCGTTTCAGTGGTCCCAGACGCTACCAACCTAAACTGTTACTTTAGAGGGATTCGTGTCTTACCTCAGGGTCACAGACAGCGCTGGAGGTGACTGTGCAAACCGGAAGAAGATGGCAAAGAGCAAGACGGGAAGGAATATATAAAGGAGAAGACAGGACTCCTGACATCTGCCATTAGTTACAACGGTGGTTGAATTATTTGGCACGTATCCCACGTACTGAGCAACACAGGAGCAGTTGGTAAATTTCTGTAACGACAAATTACATCTGCGAAAATGTGAAAAAAGCATTATGTATGTGTTCACATTTTGGACATTTTTTTAATATATGCAGTAACAAACATTTCAAATGCCACCTTCAAGTTGAAACTAAAACAATTATCCAGGTCCAAATGTTGTGAAAGTATGAACAATGAAGGAAAACAGGGTACATGTACTGCGAAATTATTATTTTCTCGTGGGTGATTTATTTTCATTTGTTTCCTGGGTTTCCTAACTTCACCAATTTATATGCCATTGGGCTGTTAAAATAAGTGTTAATAGACTCATTGAGCTACATCTAACCACGAAATTAAATGCCCACGACAAAGAATGTTCTTTTTAAAGAAACCCCACCAAAATTGAGCTGCACGAAAATAAAGGATTTTACAGTATTATCAAACATTTTAAACAATCACTGCCTCTATCTAACGATTAAGCGACTGCTACAGTGAATCACAATACCTTGGCATTTGTCTTCATATAAAAACAGCTGATACCACCAACAATTTAGACACCGTTTTCCAAATATAAACCAGCTAGATTTGTTCAATAGAGCACTATTCTTCCAAACTAAGATATTTTTAAAATATAAACCAAAATACTCGTCTCTGTATACAACAAATTCAAAACTAAATGTCAAAATTTCTAATATTATCATTTGAATTAAACCATACTAAAACATATCGGTTTGAAAACCCTATATAGCAATAGCTGTAATTGGGCACGTATACCTAATATAGCTTCAAAACACTAAATCAGCAAATAATTTAGCGAAAGATTCCGCGACGACCACAGCAGTAGTCAGGGCAAGACTTCAGAAGTCAGCAAAAACGTTGATATAAAACAATGATTGGAAAACTCGAACTCCAGATATTATTTGTGTTGAACGTAACAGTTACTAAAACTGTAAACCAATTATTCTATAGACCTACAATTTGAAAGAGTCAGGAGGAATGGTATCACGACATCATATATTACTGTAAAGTAGTTTAATTTCGCGGGATCATTTTTTGCGGTTGTCTCGATTCTGCGAGGTTTATGGGCATCCCACTTCACGCATGAACTGTTATCCAAGTATACAGGCATAACAGATATTTTCTGAAATATCATTAACTTTAGAAATGTTGTTTTTTTCCATTTCGCTCTACTTTTGTATAACGCTGATATAGCGAAATTTATTACCCCGCGAATACTAATAAATATCTACGGTACCTTTCCCCATAACTAAATTTGTGGAATATACTAAAAAAATTCATAGCTCGTATTCGATATATTATTTGTGTAAAATATAACCAATTATATACAAAATGAAAAATATAAAACGAACACGTCTCTGTAAATGCAATAAAGAGTCAGATTTCGCGTGATATCCTGAAAAATGTGAAGCGTTTATCTGTGAATTTCAATGACTAGAACAACACCGCGATATGTGTACCCTGTCAGCTTTATCAGAAACGATGACAGGCAACATATTATTCTAGACATAATAAATAATTTTACTATACGGACACAGATATATTGACCAAACAGCTGGCGACTGCCCCTGTATTCCTTGCATACGTGACGAAGAGGTAGAAGGCTAGTAATTAAGGTGGTCAGACCACTTCACCACTCGGCAACCGTGGCCCCTGACCAAACTAAAGGTAGCAGCTGGCGACTGCCCATGTATTCTTTGAATCCGTGACCCAGAGGTGGAATGCTAGTAATTAAGGTGATGAGACACCTTCACCACTCGGCAACCGCGGCCCCTGACCAAACTAAAGGTAGCAGCTGGCGACTGCCCCTGTATTCCTTGAATACAAGACCAAGAGATGGAAGGCTAGAAATTAAGGTGGTCAGACCACTTCACCACTCGGCCACCGTGACCCCTGACCAAACTAAAGGTAGCAGCTGGCGACTGCCCCTGTATTCCTTGAATCCGTAATCCTGAGGTGGCAGGCTAGTAATTAAGGTGGTCAGACACCTTCACCACTCGGCAACCGTGGTCCCTGACCAACCTGAAGATAGCAGCTACTAAAATCAAAATGACATACAACATGGTTCTGACCATTTGCAGCCATCGTCGATGACTTTTACTGAGATTTGAATTGTCGCTATATTAAGTGATAGTCATTGCCTTGGTTAGACCACAGAATCAAAGATTATTTAATACAAAGATCGATATCAACGTGCCACTTTTAATAAACTGGGCAAACCACTTACCGATCCGTCGTCAACGTATCCATGACAACCGGCGTGACAGGGAGAGAAGTATTGAACGTGCTGATCACTACATACGGGTTGATAGAACTCTGACGAACATGAACAGTTGTAGTTACAGGATTGTGATTGAAGGTTTGGAAGCTTCTCCGTATAGCTGAAAAAAAATCATCATCATTATAACAAGCCTAAAAACAAAGCTGTCAAACTAAGTTTTATAACAATCTCAAAAATGGCGATAACGTTAGACAGACAATCCTACATCACGTGTCACGTACAAAGGACAAGGCATTTCAGATTTCTCCGAATCAACGTTGAATTGGATACAAATCCTGCTATATAACAAAATAGAAATAAATCTACGATTTATGACAGTTTCAATTATGTGAATGACAGCTGAAGAAAAACCAAAAGCGACCGAATAAAATATAAACATCTACATTTGGAGGTAATTCAATAAATTTCGTAATTTGAATAAAAAAATTAATAAAATAAATAAATAAAGTAAAATAATGTCAAACTTCAGATGTGGAGGTTCACTGTCAACATAATTAAAAGAAATCGTAATATCAATATATATGACAAATGTATATTCTTAATTATTCATAGTTTTAATGAATTCACACATCCAATGTAGGTAACGGTAATACATGTCTTCATTTAAATATTAAGGGAGGAGTGCTCTGTTACAATTTCATCATTTTCCTTTTCCTGTGCTTGATATTTAGATGATCCATAAAAAACCTTGAATTTATATATTTAATTCTATTCGGTGTCTAGAACCGTATTGAAAGTATCAAGAAAATATCAATGTTAACTTGATAAGAATTGAAATCGAACTACGAATGCCAATACTATATTTAGTTATTATCAAATTACCCAGTGGAATATTGCATATTGACGCCAACTATTGTCTCCTGGCTACATCGCATCCAGACACAAAAATCGAGGACTGTTGCTAGGATACACACGATGATGATGAAACGCAACATCCCCCTAACTTTGAGATTTAAACGTTTACATAGATATCCACTCACAAACTGGCCCCCTGCTGCTCCAGGGACTGCGACAATACCTTCAAAATAAAACAACAATACGTTATTAGGCAGTAAGTATAGCGCCGAATAATTTTAAGAAAAAAATCATCGGATTTTCTAAGGTGTAATCTTTTTCTTTCACTCCATATTGATTTAACTAACCGCCAAGTATGGAAGCCCAGGCGGCCGTAGTACCGAACTGGTTCTGAATTAATTTCGGCATAAATGTAGCAAAACCGGATGTTGACAGGCCCTCAGCTGCTCCCGCTAATGTGATGAGAGTGAATGCAGGGTTGGTCAAAAGGATCCAAAAGGAATGAGGCAGATCTTTTAGAGAACTCCCTATCTCTTCTTTACTCTTGGAATCAATCATCTGATCATTATGCATCTGGGACACACGTGTATCCCTTACTTTTTTGGCGGCTGAAACACAACAAAATGTTGATTTTCATAAGTTCAGCAAGATATGGCTATATGTACTCCTATTTAATTCACATAATATGAAAACTTATTTAGGTAACTTGTGGTAGCCAAAAATGTAGTGTTGGACTGATGTGTCTAGTGACTATGTGTAGCATAGTATCGCATGTCTGTGTGATACCGTAGATGCATCATTATAACGTGAGATTTTGTAAGGAAGTATTGTGTAAATCTGCTATTATGACTACCGTATTCTGTATGGAGATCCCTGAAAAAGAAAAAATGAATAAGACCATGTATTCCGGAAGATTAAGCGTTTTCTGTTTCTTCGAAGACACCCGCCGTGTAAATCTTGGTCAATCTAAGAAAGTAACGTCACATTCTCAAATCAGAACAAGGTATACAAAAACGGAACCAACAGACAAACTAATCAGCATTTAACACATTCATATACAACAAAGAAATAGAAAATTTCTCCATGAGATTGCTATGACGACCATGATTACAAAACTGAACCGCAAGAAAATAGATAAAAATGAAGTTTTGTCCTATCGAGAGTGTATGTGATGTTAACATCCTTGAGAATTTCTTTAACGTCTGTAAATAGTTTTATTTTGTACATGTAATGTGCTGTCAATGCTAATGTATGGTCCACTTACCTTCTACCACCCTATTACATGCTGTATATACCGCTCAGACTAGCGTTTTGACTCTGTGAGATAGTATTCTTGATTAGTGTATAATACAACCCGTGGTTGTGTCATAATTACCTTGATAAGAATCAAATAGACTCTAGTTAACACTGCTGTGTTGATGGGCTATCAGAAGGGCTCTTTAAAGACGAAAGTGTACTATAATTTATTCCAAGTACTTCAAGCTATCACGCCATGTAAAAGTGTGTACAAGTATGAGAAAAGGTCATTAAATGAGAAACAGACGTAACATCAAGTACTGTGAAATCATTCATTTTCGAGGGATACTTATTTTCATTGATTTCATGGGTAATCTTATCCACAAATTTGTTTGTCAACTAACAGTTAAAAATAGCAAACTTTTTTTAGCTAGAATTATTCACAAAATCAAGTGTCCACGAAATATCATATTTCAAAAGCCACAAAATTGAGCTACACGTAAATACATGATTTTACTGTAGGTGACAATACTTTTGGATCGATGAAGAAGAAAGACTTGTTGCCTTCCGGAACATCTGGTCTTACTCTCCTTGTGCTTTTACACGAATCTCTGTGTAAATCTGTCTTTGTCCTTACTTCAGCCAAGTTTTATTGAATTAAGGTTGTATTATCATTATATTGATGTGTTGAAATTTTGTTGTGTTGTTTTTTATCGTATATATTAAACATACACATGTTGAGAGACCTAGAACACATGTAGATAAATCTGTTATTGTATAAATCATAAACAATTGTTATGTAATTGTAACGTGACGCACGTTAACACTCCTTAACCTAGACATATGTCGGATGTACATATATTCACGAATCATTTTCACGTGTAATGTATCAGTGCACCGTTTGGATGGTCTCCCAGTAGTAATAGTCTGTTGAGGTAACCAAGGAAGTGACGTAGTTGTTGTATTCGGTTGACCTTAGAAATCAGTATATTTACTGAAGCAAAATATTGCGTGTTTCTTTATAAAGAATATCTATCTCCATTAAAGTTTAGTTATAACGAGAATATATCTGATCCATATATAACGTTTGACATCAACGTGGAGTTACACGCGATCTGGGCTGCTGAATTTCGTAAACAGTTACCAAGGACAACAGAAGTGATTAACTTAAATACTTACCTGGTAATTCTACGCCGTAAGCTGCAATGGGAATTGCCACCGATACCATCACCAGGGAGGCCACCAAGAATCCCACCCACCATGCTCCGACCCATCGAGGGTCACCCGGTGTCAATTTCCCGCTGCAGAAATGTCAAAGATTATTTTATACATACAAATCATATAATAATTTACCATGGTCAAAAGTGGCCAGAACCTAATAACTCATTAATGATGAAATACCGATATTTCAACAGAAGTTTCATTTAAACTAAAAATCGATAAAACAAGTCCAAAGTACGAGCAATGAGACCATTGAGCACCATGCATGCATGGAAATTAAGAATAGTTGTTCCGGAATGGTAAGCGTCTTCTGCTTCAAAATATATATAGCCGTTGTAACGTTCCATATCAAATTATACAAAATGATCACGTCCTATAAGCACATACTTTTCCATTTAATTTTGTGTCCAAGGTTGCATAAACATTTATTGCAAAGGTCTTACTGAAACATGGGCTCACATACATAGGTGTAGGTCACAGGTCACGTCACGCAAATAGTTCATAGGTATAACACCAGGTCATAGGTCACGTCACACCAATAGTCATAACTATAACAACTGGTCATGTGTCACATTACACAAACATCGTTAGGTTAAAGGTCACGTCTTATGAATCACTGCAACGACAATTGTAATACAATTTATACTTACTAAGACAATAAATATACACATACACAATATGGTCTCAAAAATCGTCATTAATGTAATGAAAAGTTCCCGCTAGAGTGAATACACCACAACATCACACAAATGATTCATAAAATTGTTGGTCGATGCACCACCCCTCCTTGGAGGTACATTGCCTACTGGATTTTCTGTATGTGATGACTCATGTTAGATCTCTTTCTAAGTTAGAGATTTTGTTTGTGTGACATTTATTATAGGAACATAGCGAAAATCAAAGGACTACAAGCAAACAGCATGTTCTCTATCATATACACCTCTTACAACTTTCCTATGGACGAATATAAAGTCACTTAGGCGTCATTTCATTGCATACTGATCATTGTTTGTCATCCCGATAAAACAAAATCAACTATCTAAAGTAATGAAACAAGGCAACAACATGAAGTGAATGCTTCGTCTACAAAGTTCATACACTTAAATGTTAAGGTTCGTATATGATATTTAATAAAATTAGTCTTAGAAGTTTTTTTTTTTTTTTTTTTTTGCAAGCTTTAAAACAAATTAAAAATACTCTGGAAAGTTGCATATTTTTATGTCAAAACGGTGAGGCCAAAATCAAACCGAGCCAGCCATTATCTTGTACCATTTCTAGACAACACACCATTTTCCATATCGTGACATCGCAATTATGTTTGACTTGTGTATATTACACAAATAACTGATGTAAAAATATATTAAATGGGCGAATTCACTGAATAGAAGGTGACTTATGTGATGTCAGAAAATATGAAGAACGAGCGTGTTCATGTCTTTTGATGTATACTGCAAAATGTAATTCTGTGTATTGTTTTTAATTCATATTACAATGTATTATAAACTGAATTCTACCATGATCTATCAGCAACTGACATATTTAATGTCGATTTTCAGCTTGATTTAGTTTTTCATTAATAATTTAAAAAAAAAAACAATACAATTGTGTCAGGGAAGCGCTGTGAATGATGTTTTGGTGAATCAAGTCCTTTGTGTAAATATGCGCGTGTCGAAATAAACATTTTTGGTAAATTGGAATAGGTAGATTTGTTTTTGATTTTATTATTATGACTATTTAATTCAATAGACGTAGTAGGCATTATCGGGGGATAACGACAATAATATGTAATATATTTCGTCTATTTGTCTTCTTTTTTAGATAGAAAATGTAAACCTATAAATAGAGAGATAACTTATACAAAGTTCCACTCCACTATTACAAATATCCAGTGTATCCATTTAACCTATATTGTATGCAACATAGATACCGCTGTAATGTCAAAGCGTCAAAAATCCTTCATTATGCTACAATACAACAGAATGCTATCCGAAAGACCGTAACCACTACTATATCTAAACAAAAGTACAGACACTTCGCCATACATGTAATTTATACAATTCGTTTTGGCAAACGTGAGTTGTTAATCAAATTCCACTTGACATTCGTGTGTTTATCATTAAACAAAAACATTGCTATACTACACCTTACGCATTTCTTATTCAATGTATACTTGCTGTGATATCTGACTGACTCTCACCAGACAAGGGTCAAAACACGTGCTCATATTATGTCTGTGAAACTCGGTCAAATATGACTACTTAAAATCTCCTTCTACACAACGTAACGTGAGATCTAGGCCATGTGATAACATGCTTATTGCATATTAAAGCAGATGCAAGCTAATTAAAATTTACTTCGAATTTCATCTTCGGCGACTGGTAACCCGTAATATTATATAAAGTTTCTCAGCTGGGAATCACGTGGACAAAGGATTTTTGCCGGTAGGTGTCGTTTATCAAAATATAAAAAGTTGATGTTTGATGTTTTTTCTGCGGTCATAAATGGCGGAAAACAGCTGGATATTAACAAATAGATGATGTAAGCGACACTGGCGAAGTGCTTACCATGCCTTTAATTTGGAAATTTGGGTTAGTATCATCTAAATGAGCACGACCAAAAGAAACTCTGCTGCACCTACAGTATCCTCGATACTCCAGGGATTTGTGCTTACTCTACCTATCTGCTCACCTGGAACATTTCATGGCAAGACAAGAATACTAGTTTCTTTCTTTTAATGTACATCAAACGAATTTCGAGGTGACATACCGTTATGTTGTACACTTGTAATCTTCAAAAGAGCGTATCAACTTGTGGTCAGTTTTTTTTCTCTCCCGAAACCCGCTCTAGACCAATCAAATATTTTTTCTTGCGCTTCAGTTTTGCTATGAATTGTTCCTGGGGTGCAGAGACAATAGTGGGCGTAACCCCTGAATTATAGAAGATGGTTCCAGGAATGTAGAGACAATACTGAACGTAACCTCTGGAGTATCAAGAATGAATCTAGGGGTGAAAAGAGTGAGAGTGAGCGTATTTCTTGGGAGTATTAAGGATGGTTTCAGGGGTACAGAGAGTGATAGTGAATGTAACCCCTGGAGTATCGAGGATGGTTCTAGGGGTACAGAGAGTGATAGTGAATGTAACCCCTGGAGTATCGAGGATGGTTCTAGGGGTACAGAGAGTGATAGTGAATGTAACCCCTGAAGTATCGAGGATGGTTCCAGGGGTACAGAGAGTGATAGTGAATGTAACCCCTGGAGTATCGAGGATGGTTCCAGGGGTACAGAGAGTGAAAGTGATCGTAACCCCTGGAGTATCGAGGATGGTTCCAGGGGTACAGAGAGTGAAAGTGATCGTAACCCCTGGAGTATCGAGGATAGTTCTAGGGGTACAGAGAGTGAAAGTGATCGTAACCCCTGGAGTATCGAGGATGGTTCCAGGGGTACAGAGAGTGAAAGTGAATGTAACCCCTGGAATATCGATGATGGTTCCAGGGGTACAGAGAGTGAAAGTGATCGTAACCCCTGGAGTATCGAGGATAGTTCTAGGGGTACAGAGAGTGAAAGTGATCGTAACCCCTGGAGTATCGAGGATGGTTCCAGGGGTACAGAGAGTGAAAGTGAATGTAACCCCTGGAATATCGATGATGGTTCCAGGGGTACAGAGAGTGATAGTGAACGTAACCCCTGGAGTATCGATGATGGTTCCAGGGGTACAGAGAGTGAAAGTGATCGTAACCCCTGGAGTATCAAGGATGGTTCCAGGGATACAGAGAGTGAAAGTGAATGTAACCCCTGGAGTATCGATTATGGTTCTAGGGGTACATAGAGTGATAGTGAATGTAACCCATGGAGTATCGAGGATGGTTCCAGGGGTACAGAGAGTGAAAGTGATCGTAACCCCTGGAGTATCGAGGATGGTTCCAGGGGTACAGAGAGTGATAGTGAATGTAACCCCTGGAGTATCGAGGATGGTTCTAGGGGTACATAGAGCGATAGTGAATGTAACCCCTGGAGTATCGAGGATGGTTCTAGGGGTACAGAGAGTGATAGTGAACGTAACCCCTGGAGTATCGAGGATGGTTCTAGGGGTACAGAGAGTGAAAGTGATCGTAACCCCTGGAGTATCAAGGATGGTTCCAGGGGTACAGAGAGTGAAAGTGAATGTAACCCCTGGAGTATCGATGATGGTTCTAGGGGTACATAGAGTGATAGTGAATGTAACCCATGGAGTATCGAGGATGGTTCCAGGGGTACAGAGAGTGAAAGTGATCGTAACCCCTGGAGTATCGAGGATGGTTCCAGGGGTACAGAGAGTGATAGTGAATGTAACCCCTGGAGTATCGAGGATGGTTCTAGGGGTACATAGAGCGATAGTGAATGTAACCCCTGGAGTATCGAGGATGGTTCTAGGGGTACAGAGAGTGAAAGTGATCGTAACCCCTGGAGTATCGAGGATGGTTCTAGGGGTACAGAGAGTGAAAGTGATCGTAACCCCTGGAGTATCAAGGATGGTTCCAGGGGTACAGAGAGTGAAAGTGAATGTAACCCCTGGAGTATCGATGATGGTTCTAGGGGTACATAGGAGTGATAGTGAATGTAACCCCTGGAGTATCGAGGATGGTTCCAGGGGTACAGAGAGTGATAGTGAATGTAACCCCTGGAGTATCGAGGATGGTTCCAGGGGTACAGAGAGTGAAAGTGATCGTAACCCCTGGAGTATCAAGGATGGTTCCAGGGGTACAGAGAGTGATAGTGAATGTAACCCCTGGAGTATCGAGGATTGTTCCAGGGGTACAGAGAGTGAAAGTGATCGTAACCCCTGGAGTATCAAGGATGGTTCCAGGGATACAGAGAGTGAAAGTGAATGTAACCCCTGGAGTATCGATGATGGTTCTAGGGTACAGAGAGTGAAAGTGAATGTAACCCCTGGAGTATCGATGATGGTTCTAGAGGTACATAGAGTGATAGTGATCGTAACCCCTGGAGTATCGAGGATGGTTCTAGGGGTCTGGAGAGCGACGATGATACTTCGGACCATCCAGATTTCACCTTAGATCTGTTTCCTATTTCCTTTGTTTCACTAAGCTTTGTTGGCTATTCACTTCTGTAATTACTTATCACACAACACTGACCATATCTGATTTCACTAAACAAGGCCATTCTTTTTCCGTGTAATAAGTTCTGAGGACATCACTTGAACAGACTTTAAAAGCAAATTCTAAAAGCGTTTTCAGAGGATGTGTATAGTATAGATTTTATTTTACGAACACAACTGTAGAATGATGAAAAAACTTTTTTTTTCATAATTAATTGAAAATTTGTCGTTGTTGTTTTGTTTCTGTATTAATTCTATGTTCAACCAAATGTAGGTTGGTACTGTCCAGTACGGCATGCTTTTTGATAATGTACAACCAACAGGCTCTGTCATTGGACAAATTGATTATTAAACGTGCTAACACATAATAAAAGACAGCATGGTGTTCCTGTTTTTAAAAAAAACATGCATGAAATTCCGTTTACCAAAATAAAGAACAGCGTGCTCAAAACGTGTATAAACCAAGGATTAAAAAAGCACAAGTTACCTGTTACCTTCTGGCTCGTTAAAGTCGACATAAACATTCAGCATCTGACCCCCGATAATGTATCCAAGGGCGGGTCCAAACGTAGCGAAGGAGTAAAATATTCCTAGAATGAAATGTGACAAACTAGAAATATTGACCGGAAGTATGAAATGTTATATAGGGTATATGTTAGTTATACAAACCTAGTTATAGTTCTAAGAGTTTGATACACTGCGTTTGTTGCTGAATCCGACACGCCCCTATTTGGTACCGAGAGTCAGACACGCACCATTTAGAAAACAGTTATACAAGCCCAGTTTGACGCATTCCATTTGTTGCTGAATCCGACACGCCCCTATTCGGAACCGAGAGTCAGACACGCCCCATTTAGAAAACAGTTATACAAGCCCAGTTTGATGCATTCCATTTGTTGCTGAATCCGACACGCCCATATTTGGTACCGAGAGTCAGACACGCACTATTTAGTAAACAATTATACAAGCCCAGTTTGATGCATTCCATTTGTTGCTGAATCCGACACGCCCATATTTGGTACCGAGAGTCAGACACGCCCCATTTAGTAAACAATTATACAAGCCCAGTTTGATGCATTCCATTTGTTGCTGAATCCGACACGCCCATATTTGGTACCGAGAGTCAGACACGCCCCATTTAGTAAACAATTATACAAGCGCAAGTATAGCAGTAAGAGCTTGACATACTCCATTTGTTGCCGAGACACGCCCAAGTTCAATCGGTACCCTGGGTCAGACATGCCCCATTTAGTTATACAAGCCCAGTTTGACACACTCCATTGGTTTCTAAATCAGACACGCCACCATCTGGCGTGTCTGTCTCTCAGAAACAAATGGGGTCGTGTCTGAATCTAACCAATAAAAAGGTAACTCTCGTTACCAAATACATTTTGCAATGGGTGATAAAACGTCTATTTTAGGTAACAGAAGTTAGACACGCCCCCTTCTGTTTGCTGATAATAAGACCTGTCTGTAATTAATTTGTGATAAGAGTTTGACACATCCATTTTTATGTATGTTGACAAGCGTTAGACACCATCATTTGTTGCCGAAAATTAGACACTTCAGTACCTCATGACGTGAGTTTGACACGCCCACATTTGTTGCTGAGAAAAAGGCTTGCCTGTAGTTGGTAATTAAAGTTGGACACACCCACTTGTTGCTGACAGTTAGAAACGTCCAAATCACTGACGACGAGAGTCAGTCATGCCCATTATTGATGACGAGACTTAGACACACATTTGATGACGCGCCCATAATTGGTGATGAAAGTTGTACATACAGGTTTCGTCAAACTTGTTGTAATTAAGAGTCAAACGATAAAACATGTCAGTACAAATATCTATCAATCCAGAAAGGAGACAAACACCCCGATAAAAAATGTTAAAAATCAGATCTATTCATATTAACTCTCACATACTCTGGTACCATTAAGATTCTTACCGATATACATGGGAGACGACGTTGCTGGGACACTGTCGTCCATTAGAGACACGCCCACAATATAGAGTGTTGTTCCGCCCACTCCGTGTAATGCTTGACCCAGGAGAAATACGTACAAGTAATTCTGCAAACTATCGTCTGTGTTGCATGTGTTAGGCTCCGTCATCTCTACAATGACGTCATCAACATAATTAATTTCCTCCGATATCGCTACGTTCAACAGTTATTTATACCACTTCAGTTAACAAATATCTGGTCTTCGACGTCAAATTTCAGGACCAGGGCATTGTTAAAAATATTTTGTGATTTTTTTTCGTTCTCTATTGATTCATTTATCTTATTGCGATATTCGCGTTTTTTTATCTGTGATATCATTTTTACGATACAGATTCATTGCTTCAAAAAACTTGACACTAAAATAAATTGTCCGCCCAGCATATCCAGTATATTTGATTTCAAATATGTAAAATTGCGATACTTATCTAATTATTTATTTATTTATCCTACGTTAAAATTAGGCTGCGTATATGAGAATATGTATATCTAAAATATACGTTGTTTAGCATTGATGGCAATGCAGTCCGATCTGACTAAAAATATGCTTTAAACCATTAGAAGTTTTGAGAGCTCACCACTGCATGTTCCCCTGGTATTTTCACCCCATAGATAAAGCCCATTGGTGAAGTGTGGTAGAGTCATCACGAATGATCCTATCGCCATACTTCCGGCCGCTAACGAGAGATACTTCGGCTTGTTCCGGCCCGATCCGAGGTGGCTAATAATTAATCCAATTATAGCTGCCGACACGTCGTAGGCACTAGAGATACTGCCGACCTTTGAACTCGGTAGACCGAAGCGTCGCTCTATAGTCGTTGTATTCACATTGTTAATGCCATTTACAACAAAACCTGAAAAGCAAAAGCAGGAAGTCTGGACATACAATTGTAGTAACATCGAATGGTCCTGGAATCTGACGTTTTTTTTTTATATACATTTCTTGACATTTGGCATATTTGCTCAATTTTTATACAATTTTCCACAATACCGACATGAAATCTTGAAATATGATTCTGATATTGCACCTTAGCTGTGATATCCATATCTTTCATATACACACTGTAAATATGTCATGAAAAAATATTAAATAATTGAATTACAATCATTGCCTACCTTGGATGAAAGCGAAGAATGAAAGAAAAGCCAGAAGACACTTGGGGTTGTTAAATTTCTGCAACACATCCGGTTTATACGGTCCAAAGCCACATCGAACTTCTGGATCTTCAAAAGACAATACACGAGAAAGCTTAGGCTTATGGGTGGCTTTCGCATAATTCTTCTTCTCTTCCATGTTGTTCGACCCGCTGTTTCGTTCCCAAGGATCCGTATCAGTTCCCGATGATTGCTTGTTGTTTTTCTCTATCTCTTCAACAGATAACGCTTCGTCGAAGACGTCGTTTGTGAATTGACTTCCGGTGAATGTCAATGGCTGAAGCTCGTCGACGTCATTTGCGTCTTTTAAAGACGACCTGCTAGTTTTCTTCTGAAAATCAGATGAAACATTGATGATGAACGAAATAATACCAAACGGTTACCGATTTAATCAACTGTCACCCGGTCGCTGAAATAAAATAGGCCATTACATAATATTACATCCCAAATGTTTTTGTCAATAACGATTGTCGGTCGAGTTTTGCGTCAGCAAATAAAATGAAATGGGTCGTTTATTTAAATGTCAGTGAAACTGCCGTTATTATATATGTCAAAACAACTCACTATCAACTTGTAGTGTTGGGTGTCACAGTGTGTAATTAAATTGTGCCGATTCACTGCTATACTTCATGTCCATATGAGATATAGTGGAAACACAATGTACTTTCGTGCTGTAGCCTTTATTTGTCTGTGGACGATTTCAAACACATGCAGACTATATAAAATTAACATTCTCCGTGACGTCTTGACACGTTCAGAATTTACACACTGAATTTCTGCTAAGATATCTAAGAAAATCACTCACTAAATTTATTCAATAAAGGACCCATTTTAATTTTGATATATCATTGGATTTGTCTCAGACGCCTACCAGGTTTCTAAATGTAAGCCCTAAGCGTCACTGACGAGTTCTAGAAGGAAAAGGTATTCATAAGACTGTAAATGTCATTGTGTCCGTGTCATTTTGAGTCTTTGCTTCTCGTCTCATGATAGGATACTTTTCCTTTAAAAATACATTTAAATGACGTTGACGTTAGGCTGCTCTCGGAATGGCGTTGACAGAGAGGAGAGATGGGATCCAAGCTTTGTTTATTGTTTTGTTTTTGTTTTTGTTTTTGTTTTTGTTTTTTTTGCTTTTCTTTATCACTAATTACAAACCCAAAAACTAAACGCATGTGCTACATATAAAGCTTTTAAAATTTACGAATTTTGGTTTTCAAGCACCACATGAATCCTTCGCGTTTTAGTATACCTTGTTCTCATTTGAGAACGTGACATTACTTACTTAAAGCGATCAAAAACCATACAACGCATACCTTTCCGGAACACCTGGTCTTATTCTCCTTATTCTTTTTCAGGAGTTTCCGTGTAAATCATTCTTTTGTTCATAATTTTCCCAAGTTTTATTGAATTTGAAATCCGATTATAATTATGTTCATATGTTGGTATATCAAATAAAAACAAATTTAAGGTATTTTTATCACGTATCTAAGAACAATTAGGATGACAAAATCAAACAGAAACACTCATTTTTATGTCAGTTTCAAATCATGATGTAACGTCATTGTCCATGTTATGACATCACAGTCGATCTTTGGCTGGCGCAGCCAATAAAAAAAACGCTTTAGGGTATATTGCACCAGTGGCATTGGCAAAGATATCACAATGATGAAACCACCGAGTAACAGGCAGATCATGGGACAAATTATGAAAAGTTAATGTTTGAAAATATGACGTAGTGAACTTAATGATCGCGTGATTTCAGTTACCGTTAACTTGTAGCTCGCCGCTTTAATGTAATATTTCTCCCCATAAAAATCACTCCACGATGTTTATTACAGAAATAAAATAAACATTATTAGACAGTGGCAATGAATATAACATTGAGAATTTTGAAGCATGATTGTTGTTAGCTATTAACTAGTCATGAGGTGAATAGGTGGTTTTATGTGATATCGTAGTAATCGAGAAGTGGAATTCAATGTCTTTAACAGGTTCATATAACCTTCAATTCCTCATGATAAAACCTTCTAACTGTAAATTATACTTCATGTGAAATTAAATTCTGTGCGAAGAGAACGTCAGAATTACGACAAGAACATAATACAACGTCCGCTTAAGATGTCGTCGTGACGATTGGTCAGCAATATCAAGCTGGAAGAGTTGAGATGAATACGTTCAATCGGTTAAATAGGAGAGATGCACTCATTGACACAAAGTTTAGATCAACATTATTTTAAAGTTCATACTACAAAATATTCACCGAAAGAAGTATTTTATTTTAGAGACAATACTGACATGTAAAACAAAAAGAAAGATAACAGAATACCACTAATTAAGTACAATGAGAATAGGACCAGGCGTTCAGGGTGAGTAAGCGTTTTCTGATTTAAAGCATGTAAAGCTAGGTCAATATAAGTAAGAAAGATCAAAGTTCAAAACAACGGAGCCAACAAGCACATCAACTAACATCAAATTATCAAATTCAAGATAATGGAGATGATAAAGAGGACTGAATACAATAAATTGCTAGATAACGTAAGTAAATCTTCAAAAGGAAAATGGTTCGATAAAAAAAATAATGAAATGGCTGGCCTCATATAGAAAACATGTTAATCCGGGCTTGTGGTGGAAATTCCGTCATCCAATATCTACCATTGAGGGGCATTGTTACGGTATAACCTTACCAAAGCAGTGAATTATCGAATCATGAACTGCCAACAGCGTATAAGGATGTCGTATCAATACAAACTGAATAAGAACTAATTCATTTGGCATTTATATTGACTATGAATGCCAACTCAGTTCAATACTGAAATATTTACTCATATTAGTCTGAAACTCTGATAATTCAGATTTCTGGAAACCTCACCTTATGAAACCTTATGATTTGGGCTTTAGAGCAATGCTTTACCAGACAGATATAAATTATAGCGTGTGTGTTTTGGCCGACCACTTAATAAAACCTTCTCCTATATTATGTTAATAAGAATTTAAAGAATCAGTTTATTTACTGGGTTTATCGCCCTGTCAACAGCCAGGGTCATTTTAATGTGAAGTCTCCTTGTAGCTGTGCTAAGCACATTGAATACCATACTAAAGGCTTGTCGCATGTTATCCAGAATACCTCAATATAGAACATAATCAGTTACATATCGTGTAGAGCTCAGTCGAAATCATGGTTTATTTTTATCAGCGACAATAATTGTATAGGGAAATACGTAAAGTGATCGGTCTGACTGGTGTGATATGACAGGGACGGATGTGTAAACGTGGTGAAAGTTTATACTCAGATGTAAACAACAAGTGCGTTTTACAATACACCTATAGACTTACACAAGTCCCATTTTCCTCCATGTTTTACACCTGGTGGGTATACACAAGAGCTATATTCAATAGACTTTAGACCTGTTTATGGTGTCTTAGACTCATATCCATGTTTAAAATGAGGGTAGGGGTGGAGTCAATATTCGATAAAATGCACACTCCTTTGTCGTGAAAACATCGGAATAAGACCAAATATACCTATAGGGCTCCAGGGCAGCGCATGTTCTCAGTGTATTTACATACATATACTTATGTCACATGTTAATTTAACAGCAGTAAGTAACAAATAACCCGTTATATCCTTAGAAAAAGATTTACAATTGTTGCAGGTCTCGGTAATCTGACAAAGTTGTCTCCCTTTTCAGGTAAATAATATGACGATTGATTATTAGACAAAAAACGGTCTTTTTTCTTTGTGTAATTCAAAACTTATCGTGATCCCTTCGAAATGCCGATTAAATCTTCGCAAAATATTTCCAAACAAAACATGAAACATATTTGTGTTTTTGCATAGCTCATCAACTAACTCCTGAAGCGGACTCTTCAGATGGTATATCGTTTACAGTACGGAGCACGCAGGGGAAGGGCGGAGTCGTGCCGTCTAAATATCATACAACAGAGCAGATGTCAAGGTCACGGAGGTTTTAGGAGGATCAAACCGGACAATTAAAAAGTAATTGATTTGTAACGTCAAATACGGTTGTCCTTCACCTTAAAATAAGTACATTTGGTAGGTGTGTATGTAGCTTGTGCATACGCACGTACGGATGTCGACACCTGATTACTTCACTCTTTACCAGGGCTAGAGTTATCGTTCCTTACATTTACAATCTGGAGCATATCTACATTAATTCTCATATTCCTCTTGCCATAGATAACCTACGTTAGAGTCATTTGGAGTTTTAGATAAATGTTCCTGTCTCATCTACTTTAAAAGTTTATAAACTAACCAGTAAGGATATCAACATAACCAATTTCTAAACAGCTACTCAATGTCTCTATATGTCCGATTGCTATTCATATCAACATCATAGGTCACCTCAATAAAACTGTAATATTAGAAATTAAAAAAACAAAAACAAAACAAAAAAGGAAAAAAAAACAAGCAAACAAACAAAAAATTTGTCACATCTAATGGCATCAAGCCTTTAGGTGCGGTGGCAGTATAAAAAACTGTTTATGTGTCAATGTTTGCCAATGTTTACACATTTTAAGATAAAGTCATAATTCTGGGCAAGTCTTACTATATTTGTGTATAGGCATTTTAATGTATTGCAACCCTGGTAAAAAAAAACCTGGCGGTACGCTCACAAACATTGTTGTAACAACTTGAATAATTTCCTGAAGAGGGAGTATGTAACACTGAAAAATATCCATATGTTCAACATAGCGCTTCACATACTGTTTTCTTAAGCTCCATCAGTTGAGTTCAAGACTAGTAAATCAGAGGTCTCGGGTTTGAAACCTAGCGGAGGCATTCTAAAATCCAAAAAATGGCCTCTATTACATATGATATTAGAGTGCTAACAACAGCACAATCCAACATATAGGTAAATAGTCCGTTTAATTTAGTAGAAATTCGATACAACAGTTTAAATTATAGTACAGAGTATATGGTGTTGTGTTGACGTCTGCCTAAAAATCGCCATTTTAACTCGTTCTTAACCCCATTTACGGGCGCTGTTTCAACATTCTAACCTAGCGCACTAGACTAGGATGTTTTGATGTTATTTTGTCGGCTATATCCCGAAAAATACAAAACCGTCCTACCTCACCACACACTATCCACTAACCTCACTTTCCTGTGTACAATATCTGCATCATTATGTTATAAATACCTTTAGATATTGCATGTTCAAGATCCAAGAATATCTTTCCCCGAACTTCGCACTTCTTCGTATCAAGGCTGAAAAATGTTTAATCCCCTGAGTATTATAGTATATTTATCATTACGAACTCACGTCCATGTTTTGTGTCCGTCCGCGTTTTGTGTCCGGTGTTCCTTCCGATCATTAAAACCTTTTTTTCTGTAGAAATAACTACCACTAACATCACTCTTCAGTCCTATATATAAAATGTCTCTGACAACAGCGTGGATGTCATTCCAATGGTTCAGCTACACAGATAATTTATTATAGTCAATAAACAGTAAAAAAAGCCCCCCCCCTCCCCCCCTCCCCCCACTCCAGCAACTAAAAAAAGTACAAAGCAAAACAACAGCCAAAAAGAACAAAGACTACATATAAAAAAGATCTGTCACAATATCCGTATGTACAATTTAACATGTCAAAGTTGTTATGGTAAATCACATTTGGTAAACAGACCGGCAGCTTTCAGATAAACTTGAATATTTAATCAGCTTACACTTTTTAAAGCGGATCTAAGGCGTGTTATATAATACAGGGGATATGAGACATCTCATATACTACAAATGTTGTAAGGTAACAAAATATAGTCCATTGTAAAATGGTTCATTACACACTGCACGTAGGCTGGCTTAAATGTATAACACACGCAAACATTTTTCCAAATGAGATAACGAAATAACAATGTTTTCTTATAGATCAGATATGTTACCAGGAAGTGTCACAACGTGTGTTACTACCTATTTGTCTATGTGCAGTTCCGTATCAATAACCTACAATTAAAACCTCTTTTTACACATAAACTCCTACAGGAAATCTGCATCACCTTCAACTTCCTCCTTCAGGATCTCTGCCACCTAAACATTTCTCCTTCAGGAGACTCTGCCACCTAAACATTTCTCCTTCAGGATCTCTGCTACCTAAACCTTTCTCCTTAATGATCTCTGCCACCTAAACCTTTCTCCTGCGGTATCTCTGCCACCTAAACCTTTCTCCTTCGGTATCTCTGCCACCTAAACCTTTCTCCTGCGGTATCTCTGCCACCTAAACTTTTCTCCTGCGGTATCTCTGCCACCTAAACCTTTCTTCTGCGGTATCTCTGCCACCTAAACCTTTCTCCTTAATGATCTCTGCCACCTAAACCTTTCTCCTGCAGTATCTCTGCTACCTAAACCTTTCTCCTTAATGATCTCTGCCACCTAAACCTTTCTCCTGCGGTATCTCTGCCACCTAAACCTTTCTCCTTCGGAATCTCTGCCACCTAAACCTTTCTCCTTCGGTATCTCTGCCACCTAAACCTTTCTCCTGCGGTATCTCTGCCACCTAAACCTTTCTCCTGCGGTATTTCTGCCACCTAAACCTTTCTCCTGCGGTATCTCTGCCACCTAAACCTTTCTCCTTAATGATCTCTGCCACCTAAACCTTTCTCCTTCGGAATCTCTGCCACCTAAACCTTTCTCCTTCGGTATCTCTGCCACCTAAACCTTTCTCCTGCGGTATCTCTGCCACCTAAACCTTTCTCCTGCGGTATCTCTGCCACCTAAACCTTTCTCCTTCGGTATCTCTGCCACCTAAACCTTTCTCCTGCGGTATCTCTGCTACCTAAACCTTTCTCCTTAATGATCTCTGCCACCTAAACCTTTCTCCTTCGGTATCTCTGCCACCTGAACCTTTCTCCTGCGGTATCTCTGCCACCTAAACCTTTCTCCTGCGGTATCTCTGCCACCTAAACCTTTCTCCTTCGGTATCTCTGCCACCTAAACCTTTCTCCTGCGGTATCTCTGCCACCTAAACCTTTCTCCTGCGGTATCTCTGCCACCTAAACCTTTCTCCTGCGGTATCTCTGCTACCTAAACCTTTCTCCTTCGGTATCTCTGCCACCTAAACCTTTCTCCTTCGGTATCTCTGCCACCTAAACCTTTCTCCTGCGGTATCTCTGCCACCTAAACCTTTCTCCTTAATGATCTCTGCCACCTAAACCTTTCTCCTGCGGTATCTCTGCCACCTAAACCTTTCTCCTTAATGATCTCTGCCACCTAAACCTTTCTCCTGCGGTATCTCTGCCACCTAAACCTTTCTCCTGCGGTATCTCTGCCACCTAAACCTTTCTCCTGCGGTATCTCTGCCACCTAAACCTTTCTCCTGCGGTATCTCTGCTACCTAAACCTTTCTCCTTAATGATCTCTGCCACCTAAACCTTTCTCCTTCGGTATCTCTGCCACCTAAACCTTTCTCCTGCGGTATCTCTGCCACCTAAACCTTTCTCCTTCGGTATCTCTGCCACCTAAACCTTTCTCCTGCGGTATCTCTGCTACCTAAACCTTTCTCCTTAATGATCTCTGCCACCTAAACCTTTCTCCTGCGGTATCTCTGCCACCTGAACCTTTCTCCTTAATGATCTCTGCCACCTAAACCTTTCTCCTGCGGTATCTCTGCCACCTAAACCTTTCTCCTTCGGTATCTCTGCCACCTAAACCTTTCTCCTGCGGTATCTCTGCCACCTAAACCTTTCTCCTTAATGATCTCTGCCACCTAAACCTTTCTCCTGCGGTATCTCTGCCACCTAAACCTTTCTCCTGTGGTATCTCTGCCACCTAAACCTTTCTCCTGCGGTATCTCTGCCACCTAAACCTTTCTCCTGCGGTATCTCTGCCACCTAAACCTTTCTCCTGCGGTATCTCTGCCACCTAAACCTTTCTCCTGCGGTATCTCTGATCTGTATCATCTATACCTCATTCCTACAGGATGCTTACGGTACACATCCTCCTCCTAAACACTGCCCTATAAGACACCTATATCTTTCTCCTACAAGATACGTTGAACACAACTTTCACCTAATCAATACTCCTATAGGATAAGTACCGCTTTCACCTTCCTCAACCTGTAATTACTTATTCCTTAAGGATTAATAGGTTGGATCATCGGACATTTCTTTGCTACGATTCAGTACCTCCACGAGCAAATACAGAACATGATAATTAATTAATAGTACTTTTTATGCAAATTTATATTAATTACTGTTAATTGTCCTATCGAAAACGCTATGGTCAATGTTTTATGGTCCTCAATATAAAATTTGATTATAAAATAATTCTATCACATACCGTAACGAAGATTACATTTTTATACTGATTTTCCGGTTGTACAAGAAAATGATGTCAATTTCGTAGAAATTGCATCAATATATATATTATATATATACATATCATTACGAATCAAAATTTACATGTGATTGACATGTCTTACAATGAAACTTATCAGATCTTACTGGATCGTAAAATTCAGACAATGTATATATATGTATATAGCCCTCCACTTCGTTCTACTATAATGGTAGCACACCGTCCAACCTGACTTTGTCACAGGTAAAACAGTAAACATTGTTTGTACATATAAAACATTCATTCATTGACGTTAAGGAGTTGAAAATCTGAGTTGGTGTCTTGAACGGGTGGGAGGGAGGCTCTCAGTAAGGGGAAGGGGTGTTGGGGGAAGACGGTGGCACGGCAGAGAGAGAGTAACTGCCGGGGAGGGGGAGGGGGGCAGGAGGGGGTCGACTTTTAAAAAGCACGCGAGTGTGAGTTTGTGAGTGTACCTGTGTATGTATAATAAAATTATATACACCTGATCCGTTCAGTATAGCGATAAGCCGTGAAACAAGTTCTCTTACATTTCCTCTACCACGTGAGAAATGCTCTCTTAACAACTCACCGTTTTCGACATGATTAAAATCCAATGATCTTCCCGCGAGATTAAGGTCTTTGTAGTCAAACACTATATACCAAGGCGAGATATGTATCGTTCCAACACTCCGTCATTGCCATGTCCGCATCATAGAGTATGAGAAACCGTCATTTCAGCAAAGACGAACATCGGCTCCGAAGTCAACATACTGTTGAATTAAATGTAAACAAACCACACGGTGACACGCTTGTCCGTTGTGAAATTCCTATTTCCGGTTTTCTTTCTCAAGCCTATCGGTGATTTTTGACCCGCTTATCTTGAGTGTCACACATACAGTTGGAGTGATAACAAATAATCACACAGCTTGCTAAGCTCTCATCCTACTAGACGTATACGTGGTGTGTACATGTGTGTGTGTGTGTGTGACATATTAAAAAAAGTTGTCTTAAAAGCAGTAATGGCACTACATATGTATGTGTGTGTTGCTGTTGTACACGTACGTGAGAGAAAATACCGCGGCAGCTCACGAGGTATCTGTTACACGAGGTGTTTGTTGGACTGGGGGTTTCAACGCACGTGTTTATGACGTTAACACACGGCCAAAATCTCTCACACGTGTCCGGGGTTATCATATTTTTGAGATAGAATGGATACCTCTGTCTGTATGTGTATAAACTGACTGCACATACAGAAGCTTTAAAAAATAACAACCATGACTTGGAATGGCAAACAAAACGAATGGTGAAGAATAATTTCTATACGTCTCTGTCTGAACAGCTACAGTCAGGACGTATAAAACGAACGGTTGATATTTTACACGTCCTTGACACAGTGGTATTAATTACAACCAAGCGGTCTGAATATTAAATTTGAAATCACCGAAGATTTACCAGGGACGTATGTAACAGTTATCTGTTATCTACGTCCCTGGATTTACTTATCTTATCAGAAGTGTTTCCAAATGTATCAATATTAAAATATTGATATGCACAGGGACGTATAATATTGTATTATACGTCCCTGATATGCATCAAAACATGTATATATATATACGCACCATAACCTATATTATAATGAATGTTTAAGTATACTTAAGCATTATGATTAAGTATTATAATAATACAGGGACAGAAAAGCGTAGAGAATTAAAAATCATGTAAAGATGTTTTCAAACTTGTTTATACAGATTCATTGTCTGATTTCGCTGCTAGATGAGTGTCCGGCTAACTGAATTCTGACAGTTTAACGATATTTGCTGAAGTTTACAGACAGATATCTCGAACGGTCTAAAGCTATCACAAATTTCCCTAAAATTGAGTCGTTTCGCGAGGCCGATTGAGTTACAGCCCTTGTTATTAGTATGAGTGTATTGAAACATGAGGCTGGAATCTCTGGTCATATTGAGATGACGTCCCGTTTAGCAAACCAGTTTTACTACAAGTAACCAGAGACCAAACTATCTATATAAGTTTCAGAACCTTTAGTAAGCTGGCTTGTAAGAAGCCCCCAGAAGCGTATAAGGAGACGCGTTTGAAGCGTCCAGATTACAGGACCATACAGGTCTGGTTTGGGAATTTTTTAGACATATTTATTGTTTATAAACAAAAGCATTGGATAAAAGTTATGTCAACCCAATAAGTCCTCTCCTAAATGAATACATACAGGATATTTTACACAGGAATCACGTGAAAACAATAAAATATGTAAATTAAGAATTAAGAATGAATATTACAAACATTGTAAGAGAAGAAAGCAGGAAAGAAGGTGCTGGGGATAAAGAGGTGAGATAGGGACAGGAAAAGAAAAGATGTATAACATAGATAAGTTATACATATATTGAATTTATTCACATATACTGTCTAACATTTTATCCTCTATTCCAGCCAGAGTACATATCGAAGTCTCTAATTCTTCAATTCCATAATATTCCACGGTTCGCTTATTTCTTTCTTAGTATTTCCAAACCAACCTATTTTTTAACACGGCGTTGGACAGCCAACATAACGTAATATTGAACTTTAAAGTACACGTATTTTAACAGGTGAAAAAATATATTTTTTTATGCTTGAAGTATCCTGAATACTTGGGTCACCAGAAATTAAGTGTTCGGCTGAAATATTGCGAAACTGATACAAGAACTCGCTCTATTTCTAAGCCGGCAGTATAATATATCAAATTTTGTGGGGAACATATTAATAAAACATAGTGGTAAAAAGTTTTGTGGTAAAGATTGACATTCCTGTAACAACACGGGCTGCCTCATACCGAAGATTTCCTAGTTTGTACCATTTAAAATTTCACAATTATCCCAGACTTCACATGTATTTTTGAGACTCTACTACACGATATTGAGATCAAAGAGAGCTACCTGAACTAACATTTTGATGGCGTATTTGTTCTTTTCTTTCGGAAACAATAACAGGCCTTTTTGATTCATCATAAACGCGGACGCATTTTTCACAAGTTTAGTACTAGTAAAGTCTGTTTTGCACCAGTTACCTCCCTTATATCACACATTAAGTGAATATAACGTTGCTTGACAGGCATTTGTGAAGACTGATTTTTCTTAGCTTAATGATGCCGCCGCAACGTACATTATGTTATAAAGTCATGACGTCACAAATGAATTAATTATTAATATTCTATTAATATCCTCCAGAATGAAGATTTGTAATCAGAAAAAAAATACATAAATAAGAAATTTCGATAATGAAAAACTCAAAAGTAGATTCCATGTGTCAAAAATTATAAATGATTTGATTATCAAATGAATCATTATGAATGATTATAACGATCTATGATATACATTATATCAACATGACGTAATTATGATAACACTGACCAGGGATATCTTAGGCCTATGCTAATTAACGGGAACCATCAGCCAATCAGAGCTTTCGGTGATAATACCAAATACGTACTGGGTGTTCTTACATTGATAACAGGGCGGCTAAGATTACGTCATAAGGGACATGTTCAGGTATAAATACTGGGTGTAGGGCATCTCATAGGGAACTGTACAAAAGACACAATATTTTGTTTTGGGTTACAATAATGGGTACGGGTACTGTATTTGCATACTAAATTTATGGTAATTATTACTGAAATGAAAAGCACGTTTTAATTTTAATTTATCTGTAGAGTCAAACAAGGAATTAAACTGCAACATACAGCTGTTTCGTACTTTTAGGACTCGTCAGTGGTGTTAAGTGCGTCAGCTTTGGAGCCTAGGAGGCGACTAAGGAAAAACCAATATGATCGAAAGAAAAGTCAAAATCTAGATAGGTGTAGATAATTCAATACATTTATCAATTTCCATCTCTCTGATAAATTGTAATAATGTCAAGTACATGTCCTTTTATGAGGTATATTTATCTGTATTCTTAAATTAAATCTGTACTCGATGTATTAACAGATAGTTAGCTCAGGATTTTTTGCCAGCTTTTGGCGGAAAACGAGAAAAATGTGACGAGTTTCAAATTAAGTCGGATATCAAAATTACAAAATTAAAAGATAAGAGTTTTTAAGATCTTTGTTATCACATGATCAATTGTTTAAAAGTATTTGTAGAAAATCGACATTTTCATGTCAAACACGAAATCATTTAAGTTCTTTATCGATAATCTCCGGCAGTTACAGAGCCATGTATGTGTTAGACTGAAAATTCTGTCTCTAAACTTTTGTTCTGATGACAAAATTCACATTTATTATGCACTTACTGATATTTACATTGTTATTGACTATTTAAAATGAATATCAATTACTTCATAAAAAATGTGAATACCGACATTATGTAACCATTGAAAAAAATCGGTCTATCTATTAATGTGAAACGTCACTTCATCATACAAACGTTATATCACAAAAGGCTATGTTACACACGTATAACAATATTGATAAAAAAACCCCAAAAACTTGGGTATATTTATTATCACCCTACAACCACCCACCTCTTTTACGTAAGGATGGGGATATAGGCATGTAGCAGGAGCTGTCCGTGATAACCTTGTGTAAAGGTTTCTTATGAATCTCTGAACAGGTTTGGTTTATGATATTCACACTGGAGATTTGTATCACCATAGTTTACACGTTTGTACATGTACATTATATTCTTATGTATTTAACTATAGTACTTACGAGCTGTACGATTTCGGTGGTCAATAGTTTAGGTTAAAGGTCAAAGGTCACACTTAAACACCGGGGTGAGAAGAGGGTGGAGTTTATCGTCCGGTTCACTTTGTTTTTATTGAGTAACAAGGCAATGGCCAGGTCATTCGTATAACGTCAGATATACGAGTATTGTAATCAAATTTGGGCCGAGTCTACCAGATTGAATAATTATAAACGCGGATGTAAACTTTGGTAAGTTCAAACCTCCTCCTCCTCCTCCTCCTCCTCTCCTTCTCCTCCTTCTTCTCTCCCTCTCCTCCTCGTCCTCTCTTTCCCAACCCCTGGTATATGCGACATCCTATCTCAGGCGATAAATGTATAAACTATGTAGTCATAACGAAACCCAGCCCCGGAATGTTTCTACTTCTAAGTAAAATGACGTCTCTTTTGACCTGTCAAACCCCGATTCGTAAAATATATTACTCATTCTATCGATGTTTCCGCTATCGTTTAGGATTAGGACATGCAGTACTTCAATAAAACACGCCCAAAAGGGAAATACCAGAACAAGGACGTGTATCATGATACAATTAGTGAAACCAGAAGGGAAGGAACGCTTTCATGTGTTTACGACTAGGGGTATATAGGCTTGTATCTCTCCACCTCTCATCTTTCTTTGTTTCGAAAGTAATATTGAAAGAAGGGAGAATCATACCGGACGGAGTCAAATAAAGATGATAATGAATACATATCAAAATTAAATATTGAATCAATTAAAAAAATCAAAATTTATTCATTTATGATTAGACAAAAAAGAAAAATAATTTCCTCTACATACGTTGTTTACAAAGAAGGAATAATGATAAGTCGGAATGTTTGGTGGACGTTCCAACTCTGAGGAGGGACCACAAGTCTCCTTGAACTTTTCATCAATATCTAAATGTATAGAAACACTGGTTTGACGATAGGGAAATGTATAACACGTGTACACATCATTGGAGCCAATGACCAGGACATTGAAGATGACACTTATTGGTTGTGGTATTAAGAATGTTTAAACCGGAAAGCTTTGTGGACCAAGAAAAAATAAAAATTTCGAGGTAGATTGAAATGAAAAACCAACATTATCGTACAGACGGTTTGATATTGAAGTCAAATTTATATCAATCGTTTTAAAAACGTATCCTCGGCGATTTTTCGTTTTCATACATTTTATATTGATTTGTTCACATTGTCATTTGGAATATAAGTTACTTGAATATAAGGCATACAAGTTGTTATTTAGCATGTCCGCTTCCAAAACAA